GATCCATGAATCTAATGAGGCCCAAGTAAAATGATTTTGGTTGCAGGTGCAATGAAGACATTAAAAACGGAATCACCAACCTGCTTATGTTCGTGAAGAGCATGAAAGGCCTGGCAGGCATCCGGGATGCCGTGTGGGAATTACTTACCAATGAGTCCACCAGTCACAGCTGGGATGTGGTATGCAGGCGGCTCCTGGAGAAGCCGTTCTTGTTCTGGGAGGATTTGATGCAACAGCTGTTCCTCGACCGGTTACAGGTAATGTGAGTAGTCACATGGTCCATCTGTCTGTTTTGGCCAATCTTAGTGGGATCTTCTGACTGTCTGGGTTGACACCTGTCACTTCCTAAGTGTGTTCTTTGCCTGATGACTTACCCCAGGGAGCCCCATAGTGTACCTTCCAGAGGTGTCTCTCCTGGATATGAACAGAGATCCAGACTGTGGTGCTGGAAAGGAGACCAGGCCTCTGTCATGTGGTTGGGATCATGTCCGTGTTCATCAAGGATGACCTTGCCCTCTGCAAACATCCTGTCGTCTTTCTGAGCCTAGAGGAGAACATTCTGACTGCTGGGATAGACAGCTATTTGATGCTCTTGTGTTGAGACTGCCTGAGAGGAACTGTGATTAGAGCTCTTCTCATTCTCTTTCAGACGCTGACAAAAGAGGGCTTTGACTCCATCTCCACTAGCTCCAGAGAGCTCCTCATTTCTGCTCTGCAAGAGCTTGAGAGCAGCACCGGCAAGTCCACTTCAAACAAGCACATCCACTTTGAGCATAACATGTCTCTCTTCCTCTGGTCTGAGAGTCCCAATGACCTGCCTTCTGATGCCGCCTGGATCAACGTGGCAAACCGGAATCAGTTTGCTGGCAGCGGGCTCTCCATGAAAGCTCAAGCTGTCAGCCCTTGCGTCCAGAACTTCTGTGCTGCCCTAGATTCTAAACTGAAGGTTAAATTGGATGATCTCCTTGCTTACCTTCCCTCTGATGACTCGTCACTGTCCAAGGACGTCTCCCCTGTGCAAGCCAAGAACTGTGCCTTTGACAGATACGCCGATGCCGAAACTGTGCAGGAGATGCTGCGGACTCACTCGGTGGCCTGTATCAAGCACATCACAGACTGCATCCAGACAGAGCTGCAGAGCATTGAAGAAGTTGTGCAAGGCCAGCAGGATGCCCTCAGCGGGATCAAGCTGCATGCAGCCCTTTTTATGGCGAGACTCTGCCAGTCACTGGGAGAACTGTGTCCTCACCTGAAGCAGTGCATCTTGGGAAAATCTGGGAGCTCCGAAAAACCAGCAAGGGATTCTAGGGCTCTGAAAAAACAGGGGAAGGGGAAAGCGCAGAAAGCCCTGCCTACACAGGCCCAGTGGCAGGAGGTTAAGGAACTCCTCCTGCAGCAGAGTGTGATGGGCTACCGGGTCTGGAGCTCAGCAGTCGTGAAAGTAAGTGATGTTGCACGTGTTTTGTCCATGCTTACTGGGTCATCCTCATTTGGTCTCCCTTTTGTCATGGGCCAGTCTTGCCAACCTTGGTAAGATTTTTTAATATAAGGGAGTAACAATTCTTATTTCATATAGTTTTACTTTCACTCATCGCTGCCACATGGAGCAAATGTCAAAACTCTTCCATTCATTTCTAGCCAGGATTTTATAGACAGAAACACTGGACTTTTTCCCTTCCATCTGACGAGAAAGACACTCTTTTCTGTACAGGGGTGTGTATTTCTTGCTCCTCAACCTAAATATCATATGCTGTACTGGTACCTTATTTGTAGAGTAGTTAGCAACAAAATTCCCATTGCCTGTGTCAGTAATTTGCCAAAGGAAGCGTGATGTTTGCCACTTGCCACCCCACACGTGACCTGAGCATGGAAGCTGGTTTCAAGATTACCATAGTAGTTAGAGACAAACTCGACAGGATCTGAGTTGCCTCTGTGGGTATTTGCCTTTTATTACCAGGTTTTGGCCCATGGCTTCGCCCAGGCACTGCTTTTAGATGATGCTGGCTCAGTCCTGGCCACGGCTACCAGCTGGGATGAACTAGAAATTCAGGAGGAAACGGAGTCTGGCAGCAGCATCACATCCAAGATCAGACTCCCTATCCAGGTAAGCCAGTGCCCCGCCTGCTCTGGGGAAAGGAAAAAAGATTTTAGAAAATCATTAACTGACAGCTTTTGAGGAAGAGGTGCAAGGAATATTTATAACTTTCTGCTGGTGAGGGATTGTGGGGGGAGGGCAAAGTGGACATAGGGCCAAGTAAATAGACTGTTCGAGGAGTTGGTTAATGATTCTTTCCTTTTGTAGCACAGGCCCTGTGCTAGTTAGAGAACCACCTACCCTAGAGTGAACACAGCAACACCGAATAGCGCCACCAGCCAGGTCAACCCCAGGCCACCAGGGGAATGATAGCAAATGTCACGCTTATCTGTTAACTGGTCTGTAAGAGAAGCTGAATGGAGAGGTCAAGGTCTTGGCATATAAGCCAACATAAATACACCCATCTTTACCACGTCTCATTTCATTGGTGCACGTTGGCGACTCGACACTCCTTTGTTCCTTTAGCCGTCCTGGTATGTACAGTCCTTCCTGTTCAGCTTGTGCCAGGAAATTAATCGGGTTGGAGGCCATGCCCTGCCCAAGGTGACGCTGCAGGAGATGCTGAAAAGCTGTATGGCTCAAGTAGTAGCTGCCTATGAGAAACTCTCTGGAGAAAACCAGATGAAGGTAGGGGTTCGAAGTTTTCTCCATTAAAAACTGAAATAAAACCTTCACTTTCCTGGGGCTTGGGCAGTGCACATCCGGTATTAAAGGTCACTGAGCCCAGTCTATTTAGGTGGCTTCCAACTCTGCGAGTTTAATTACACCCATTCTCAGGGGTCAGGCAGGTCTTCATAAAAAGGTCATCCAGACCATGGGAGGAAGAACACCTCAGAGTAACCAAGGCCCACTGCCCCCCCACCCAGCACAGCCAGCTCACTGGGCTTGGGGCAGACCATTAATGCCAGGGTCAAATGTGGTCACGTTAACTGCTTGGAGCACCTGGAGGGGGTTGTTCGAAGGGTTCCAAAGCACGGCCTGTGGCGAACGAGGCACTTTTTAAAAGGAGTTCTGTCTCCCAACCCTCCACAACCCTGGCTCACCGGCTGTGAAGCATCCTGCCCTTGCTGTGTGCTCCCCTTTAGTAACATTTGTAGGACAGGACCACCTCCCGATTCGGGGAAGAATTCAGGGAGGTCTTCTCTGCAGAACTTCCTTACAATGCCCCTGCTTCATGCAAGGAGCTTTTTTTCCCTTTAAAATGCCCATGTCTAGCATCCAAAACCTTTTTGTAAGGGCTGTTGGGGTTTTCAAGAGCAAGTTTCTAACGTGATGTTGTTGAGATTTAACTGGCCATACGGGTATAAAAAGCTTCTGCTTCTGAAATAAGCTGTAACTCAACCAAACCATGAAGCTGTTTATTATGCTCATATAGCCATCTCCCTTAATGGGTAGGGATGGGGGGTTCATTTGCAGAAAGAAGGTGCATTTCCAATGACACAGAATCGGGCACTGCAGCTGCTTTATGATCTGCGTTATCTCAACATTGTTCTGGCAGCCAAGGGTGAAGATGTAAAAAGTGGTCGCAGCAAACAGGACTCCAGGTATCCTCACCCACCCCTCCCTGCCACTCTCCCAATACAGCCTTTTCCAAATGCAAACAGCCCCTTTCCTGGGGAGCCACCTAAGAGTGAGCCTTATTGCACATCAGTTGTGTTTGTTTTCAATAGTAAGTGCTCATATTACCAGCAAGATAAATAATGACCACCTGCTGGATAAATTCCATGGTCAAGTGTAGTTACTGGACTCTCATTCCTCTTTCTTGTGAGTCAGCCTACCAACTGTTGGGTATAATTTGAACCTCTTGAGTGCCCCCCCTAAAACCATGGGGAAAGAATGGACTTGACTTAAGACATCACAATCAGCTTAAAACTCTGAGGGTACTTAGGCACAGTGATCAGTGACTAGTGGTACTAAGCCAGCAATTAAGGAGAATAAATCCAGTTCCAAAATGTCAATCTCAGAAGACGGGTGTTTGTCCTAAAAAATGTGAAGAATCATCATCATCATAGTGTCTTTTCTTCAGAACTGAGAAAGTGACTGACTATTTGGAAGCACTCATTGACCCATTTGACCTGGATGTTTTCACACCCCACCTCAACAGCAATCTGAATCGCCTGGTGCAGCGCACTTCTGTAAGTCAAGTCATAGTAATAATAAACCTGCTCTAGCACTAGAGCTTCTGGAGGCATTGCTGGGAGCAGGGAAAGACACAGGTAGCTGAGTTCAGTTATAAAGACTCAGGATTAGGTAAAATCCCATGCTGAGGTAACCGTCATCTGACCCCATTAGTTGTAGACAAGCATTATTCAGGTTTTTCCAAGGACTCAGAGAAATAAAATAAAAAAGCATGTGACTCGGAGATTCTGACTGGTGCAGTGATAACAGTAATTTTAAAGCATTAACACAAAAAAAAATCTACCCCAAAAGGACAGTTAGAAACAGAAAGCAGTGACTGATCAGAAGCGATCTTTTAACTGGGCAGTAAAACCCCAGCACGTCTTGTACATTCTCTCTTATGTATCAGGTTCTCTTTGGACTGGTCACTGGGACAGAGAATCAGTTCACCCCCAGGAGCAGCACGTTCAACTCCCAAGAACCCCATAACATACTGCCACTGGCATCAAGTCAGATCAGGTAACGGTTCTGGGAGGCTTTTTCCTGGGCCCCCGGCTTCCTGTTCATGCCACTGAAACTCCTTCATCTTGTCTTAAAGGTTTGGACTTCTTCCACTGAGCATGACAAGCACTCGGAAGGCCAAATCCACCAGCAGAAGCATCGAATCAAAAGCCCAGGTTAGTGCAGAAACCAAGAGGTTCATCCCTTTTAATACTGTCCCATCTCCCACCAAACACTACCCAGTTGGCTCCCCTTTAAAGAATCGATAAAGAACCAAAGGACAAAATGCACTAATGCTGTTTTTAATGGCGGCGCAATATAGAAGTACAGGTTTTACTAGCTTGAGCTGATAGGTTGAAAAGATGTCCATTTACTTATCAAGTAGCCTCGTAACAGATACGGATTTCAGGCTGCCAAGGCTGCAGAAAATATGCAAGTGCGATGGAGGTTATTCCTTAGTTTTTGTAAGAAAAAAGGGTAGACTGCTTACCTAGTACTGTCATACTTATGTGGAAAAAAAAAGCCTGATTTGTTTCAGTGAAGGTTTCATCTTCTATTTCTTTTACTTGGGTGGTAAATAAAAGGAAATTTGCTTTCTCAAGTTTTACAATTTCTTGTTAATACACGTTTTGTTTCAATAGGCTACCATCCATTAAGCCTGCAGGAGGATCCTGGGTATTTCTGCATTGTGTTGTATACATGTGTGTTTGAGAGCTCAGATGCTGGCTTCATACAGCATTTAGTTATCTGCTTTATTGCTATACAAAATATTAGCAACGAATCCTTTCCATATTCCCTGCCATCAAACCCATTAAAATCCAAAATCCTTGTCAAACATCTGGTTTTAAAACTTGGGAGATGGTAGTAAAAAAAAAATTCTTGCACAAACCATCCACTCCCTAAGCACTGGCCTGTACAATAACTTCCCACCACAATTCTAAATTCCTACTTCAAATCACTGACCTTTTAAATTCTGTCCATAGTAGAAAGACAAATCATGGAAAGGAGGTCTGTATCTCCCCCTTTCCTGCAATAGTTCTCATCTTCAAAGTTAAGCTGTCCCCACGTGCTTTTCGAATCCCCTGAACTCGAGCTATCCGTGCTTCTCAGATCTGCCGTGTGCGGTGTGCACTCCGCGTGGAGCAGAGGGTGTGGGCAGGCGGGAGGATCTGGGTGGACTCTAAGGCACTTTCCTCTCCATGCAATGGCAGGTTGTCCCCCCGGCACTCTCCCGAGCAGATGACCCGACGCATCCTGGCTCCTTATTCAGACAGCTTGTCAGTGAGGAAGAAGACTCGTCTACACCTTCGTTATTCAAACTTGGTTGGCTCTCTAGTATGACCAAATAACACAGGGACATGTCCATCACTCTCCAAATAAATACTACTGCATCATTTCTACTAAAGGTGCCTCTGCTCGTTTGTCTCTAAGCCATGCCCGTCTTTTCCAGTTTCAGTGGTGGAATGTGGCCCCTCGTTACTGTTAGGGGGTTAAGTTTAAGCATAGAGTGAATCCTTGGCCAACAGTCTCACAACACTTGTGACTTTAGACATCGATTCGGATAGCTTACATTTTGTCAGCACTCAACAATGCCTTAATTCTGGACACTACAAGGTGGAATTATCAATGAGACCACATAAGCTGCCAACAGAACAAGTCTATGAGTAAGACAAAAAATCATTACGTATTTCTTGACTGTCGGAATTGCAATGTTTCTACCAGGTCTGAGATGTAGGCTCTGGAGCAATGACGGTGACAGAGGTGATCTGGGTATACAAGAGTCTGAAAGACATTCTCTCTAGAAATACAAATATATAACAAAGAGAGAAGACAGTTATTAGGGAGGGTGCTCACTTACACAGTCTCACTTGAATCGCACTGTTCTGTTACAAAGAGTAACAGGCGTCTACATACTAAGAGGTAGTATGGCAATTTCAGTGCAAGACTGAATCAAGCTTTCTATATTTTGGAAAAACGTATGCTCTTTCATGGAAACTATATACTCTTCACTAGTTTATTGAATTTAAAAAATTGGAGATCCCGCACTTTTAAAAGGCCTTTTTACATGAATTTCTAATTGACAGATTTGGAAATCAGTCTGAATTGGACAAACTATGGATTCAACACGCAGGTGATTCCTCATACCGTTACCTTGACATGGATTGGATACCCACCCTCAAAAGAATCCTATAAAAAATTGCTTCAAAGCCCCTTTAAAATTGCAATAGTGCAGCAAAACCACAAGTAAACAACGGCCTGTTAACCTGTTATTTCAAATATAGACTGACGAGCCAACAGGCATTTTTTTTGTGCAATTTTTTGAAACATCGTAAGATGAAATATCAAATCTGCACAGCGCTGTCCCTTCACAGAAGGCAAGAAACCGCCCGCCCATCATGTGGGAGGCCGTCCTCGGTGCTGTAGGCTGTGGAAGTGGGCTTCCTTCAGGGTCTGGTTGATGTGGAAGTACAGGCCTTGGCACAGTGCGGACTGCTCGGGCACGGGCTGGGGGGTGTTGGGGCTGGACCCCGTGACGACGTGGTTTAAGCTGCTCTCGGGCCCACTGGCCCTGTCCGGGCTGTTGATGCTGCTGCTGCTGCTGCCACTGCTGCTCCCGCCACTGTCACTGCTTGAAGACTGGAAAGAAAAAGGAACAGTTTCATGACTCAGCTGTTTTGTCTCTTAAGAACTCTGCTGTACTTTAATTTATGGTACCCTATTTAAGAATATTCTTCCTACCCAGATTGAGGAGTATCAGCATTACACTGAGCTTTACAGTTTACAAAGTACATTCGCCCAAGACATTTTACTCTATCCTCACAACTACCTTGTTACAGCTGAGTAGGGTTACTGTACCATTATACATCCCTAAGAAGTAACAGGGTCCATGTTCGAGCACAGACCTTCTACTGCAAATCCCTTCAACTACACCTTACCTCCTTTACATGGCTCCTGAACCGGCCTTTGTCATTCATTATATGAGCATTTTTACAGTCCAGTATGTGTGCGTGTTGTGTCTGTGTGCATGAACTTGTCTAATTTTTAATGTAATTAGCAACTTAAGTGTCTTAGTCATCTTAAAGAAGCTACTCAGAAATCCCTAATAAGAAATCCTGCAGAAACCACCTTCTTCCCAATAGTAGGAGTTTCAAAGGAGAAGGCAATGGTAATAAGGACCCTTTCAGAATTATGGTACTGTACAATTTTCATTTCTAAGAATTGACCACCCAACCACTCTTCTCTATTTAGAACTCAATACAAAATTGTACTTGAAGGAATCAATAGAAGAGGAAGTTAGAATTCAAGTAATTAATGAGCTGGTGTAAATTTTGTGGGAGTCATTAGCCCTTTGATAAATCTGAGTTTGTATTCCCTTAAATACTGATGTTTTGAAATGTCTGCTTACAACAATGTAAAATCTACACATAAGAAAAAAAGACTGGAAAGAAACAGCCCATGGTAGTTATGTTAAAATGGAGGGATTATAAATGCTTATTTTTTTCTGCTCTACTATAAATTTTTTGCAATATGGTTATTATATATACGCATTATCAAAATAAATGTATAAATAAAATAAAATGTTTTAAGACAGATACTTTAAAAATGATTTTTGAAAAACCAAAAATGACACCTAATAATACATATATTATAATCCACACGGGTATATGGAAATCGCATGAGTCCATTTACAATGCAGTAAGCTTAGAGAAATTATGTTGTAATTTATGAAGGGACACTGGGTTGAGGCCTAATTTGATTTTACTACATAAAACTACAGGGTGGGGCCAAAGCAGGTTTACAGTTATTTGTATGGAAAAGTAATACAATAACTAATAAATAATAATACAAGAATAAACCCTGTATTTTGTGCACTAACAACTGTGAACCTGCTTTTGCTGCACCCTGTCTGTACATAAATGCCAAAAACGGCAAAGGAAGGATGTTCACAAAAGGCATCCATTATTAATAAGGCTTAAAGCAGGCACTGTTGCGGTCCCTTGGTCATTTGGAGCTACCTGATACAGGGTCACATATCCTATTGCCCACAGGTAGTGGGTGACAACCTATCTATCTTTCTACCAATAAAATCCATTCATGAATGCATTACAAATGGGCTGAGTGGCATCAGACGGCGGGCTTGGCAGCAGTAATTACATTTACTCAAAGACTTAAGATGTCAAAGCCAATTCAAAAGCGAAAACTGATTAAAAGCCTCTCCTGACCTAGAGTGTGTAACAACCCAGAACTGCCGCTGGTACACCTGGTGAGGCTGTGAATATTTAACGAGCAGGTTACTGCACTAGATAAGAAACCCACCGCGCAGAAAACTTTGTTTCCTCTTAGTCTGTTTTCTTTGTTTTTCGTTACAGGTACTGTCTGAAAATTAAGGCAAGAACTAGAATCAGTTTCTAGTAAAGTCAAGTTTCTATCTCAAATTATACTTATTTCACAATATAACAGCGAAGGGGGCATTATTCTGAGAAGAAAGTGCTTTAAAATAAACAGTTTAGAAAAGAGTTCTGTACAATGATCATAAAAAAGGAAGAGGGGACACAAATACACTAGCAATTTCTAGTCCATTTTAAAAATCTTGTAACCTTATAAAGACACATATAAAAATGTTCAGTGTGGCCTTGTTTATAACAGCTAGAAACTTCAAACAACCAAAACATCTAACAATAGGGAAACCAGTTAAATTATAATATATGTATATAAAGTGTAATACATAACTTATAATTCATAACAATGAAATTCTATTCAGCTATTAATGACATACACACACACCAAGACAGAAAGCAGTCTTTACCCTTTTTTTATAGGCTACGAGACAGTATGCTTGCCAAATGGTTTTAAAATGTTTTTTAATGTAGACATATATGTACACCAAAAATAATCTGGAAAGATATATGTGCCGAAATATTTAGAATCTGGACCTTCTATTTTTTAAGTAGAAGTAGCTTCTACAAAAAAAAAAAAGATATATTTTGAGGGGGAAAAATTGATCCTGAGTTGTATTCACTTGCATTGAGGAGGCCAGTGGTACTTTCAAACTAATAAAACGCAGCCTACAGAGAACCAGGATGGGCTCCGGAAGCATTAGATATATACTACCGTGATCAAAGGGAAACATAACACATCTCTTCACGATACTTTGGCTCTATTTTCTGCCAATTCAAGTCTTCTCACTATTGGGGAGGCTTTCAAGAGTAACCTCACAAAGACTGACCAGTGTTTTCAAAGGAAGGGTGAAACCCATTTGGTGGGCAGTAAGCAGCATTAAAAAAAGAAAAGAAAGAAAGAAAACAGTGCAACATACTGATTGTTCTGTGCAATGTTTTTTCAATTATTCACAAATATATTTGGTATCTACTAGGTCATAGTATAAAATTTTTCCATGAAATAGGGTAAAAAATGTTTGGAAGCCATTGTAACCAGTCTCATTAACACTGTCGGCCAGCAAAGTGGTCTACTTTACAGGATAAAGAACACTCATTATTTACTTTTAACCCTCAAGGCACAAAATCAAAATTTTAACTCTATCAATGCTTTAAGATACACACAGAAGTAAATTGTTTTGTCTTATAAAACCAAAAACATGAGACAGGAAAAAAACACAGTTTCGCACACTGAATGGAACTTAAAGTATCAAATCCGTGGAGGAGGAAGGGGCACTACTTGACTGCATGGTGTTGAGACTTGGCATGGAGTGTTTACCGTGTTCCTATTCCTGTTCTTAAAGAGACCTACACAAGTTCTCTTGCTGAGTGAGTCCAGAAACCCTGGGCCTGGGCCTGACTCCTCCACTAGGAACCCTGGCCCCGGGGTCCCAATTCCTCAGAGACTCCTCATCACCCAAATCCACAGTTAGCGCATTTCTTTTCTCTAAACTTTAAATTTGGGCCGAGTGCTGACGCTGACCAGGGTGTTCTCAATGACAACTTTGTATTAAATCAAAAGAGAATAAGGTTGTGATCTGTGAAATGAAAACCCCTTGTGAATCCAGGCATACAAGCAGCATAGGGTTACATTTATGAAGATTCTGACCGAGTCTCTTTCTCTAAATGTACAAAGGATGCCACAGCAAAGATCCCATAAGAATCCCCCGGCAAAGATCTGTGTGAAAAGGGAGGATTCCAAGTTAACTGAAGCAGTAATAAAATCCACCTGGGTGCCCTGGTGACTGCAGATGCCCGGGTGAGACCCAGAAGAATTCAGTCTATTTTGGAGTCCCCTGAGGCTTTTTCAGCGGTGTGCATGCCAGGGTCCCACCTCAGGAAAATCTGGCTCAAGGAGGTCCAGATTATTCTGATGCCCAGCCACTGTCCAAACACACATACGCCCCTGCTGTGCACCGGGAGGCACTGCACTAAGGCTCCCCAGTCATGTATTTACTGCGCTTCATCAAGAATATGGTGGCAACACAGCCACTGATAAGTACAGCGCACGGTCAATGCAGTGACAGGAACCTAGCAAGCAGCATGGATGGAGGGAGCCAGGACAGGCTCCTTGAAATGAATGGTGTTTGAACTGGGCCTAGAGGATGAGGAAGAATCTTTATAAGGAGGGCAGGGAACAACCTGGGAACAATAAGCAAAAGCAGGAGTGCTCTGGGAGGCAGAGCTAATGGCGAGGTGTGGCGTGCCCACTCCAGTTTAGCATCGGTGACACAACAGAACTTGTACATGCGAGACCCTGGATGGTAAGTGCCCAAAGTCTGCAGGATCCGTTTCCAAGTGTGTAAGATTCATTCAGAGCTGTGCTTGGGAGTGAGGGTGCTAGGGACCTATTGAAATGAACAAGGCTGGGGAGACCACGGAGGCCAACAGGGAAGTTTTCCAGAACATCAGATAGCAGCAGAGCAGGCCACCACGAGGAGTGTGGCAAAGTCCACGAAGGGGTGTGTCTCACACCCCAGAGGGAGATGGAAGGGATTCAGAAAGAGAGACATCCAAACGGACACCAAACACCTTAGACACCTGCTAGATACAGCTGACGCTTGGACCACATGGGGCTTTGTTAGGGGCGCTGACACCCTGAACAGTCAAAAACCCACATATAACTTCTGACTACCCCAAAACTTAACTACTAATAGCCTACTGTTGACTTAAGTCTTACCGATAACATCAACGGTCAATTAACACATGTTTTGTATGTTACATATACTGTATTCGTATAATAAAGCAAGCTAAAGAAAAGATGTTAAGGAAGAAAAAATACACTTATAGTACGATACGTATTTACTTTAACAAATGCACATTTAAATGGACCTTCAGTTCAAATGCGTGTTGTTCAAGGGTCAAGTGTACGGGGTGCTCAGTACACATGATGAATGGAAAGTGTCAGTGAGCCTTGAGAAGAGTTCTGTGGCCTCAGGAGGAAGCTGGGACCCAGAGAGGAAAGGTTGGCGGACAGGAAGTACTGGCAGCAGCTGCAGAGAAGGGAGAGGCTGGCAGTGAACAGGAAGGAGAAGGCAGCAGTGAGCTACGGGAAAATAGGGCAGAGATGAGCTGGGAAGGGAAAGAACACAGGAGTGCTAGTGACAGAAGCAGTGGCTGCTTCAGAAGACTGAAGAGATTCAGAGGGCGGAATACTAGAAGCAGCGGGACACTTGCTTCTCTTTGGCAGAAAGTATTGCTCCTATAAGACAATGTAGAAATCCTGATGCAGAGGTTGGGAAGCTGAGGAAGTTCATTTTCTTAGTCCACGGGGCTACACACCACAGGAAGAGAACTCCTGGTCCCTCAGCTAGGCCTACCTTTCACTTTATGTTCCCGGGGCATGAAGTCAGTGTAAGAGATAACCCCTAGTAAATACCCATGGTAGAAACCAATCAACTCTAAAAACTACTTCTGCTAATAACCTCCAGAAAGCCCCCCAGGCAGGAATGTTAATTACTGAGCCTCTCTGCTTTGTAAAAACTGAATCAGAATATATGTGCATATTTATTAAATATGTGTATAGTTCATTGTAAAACTGCTGTGGAATCTGGATTAAGTGCAAAAGATGATCCTGGCCAAGTGGACTGGAACATCCAATGTAAAATCCCTCATCTCCAAAGCGCCCAATTATGTAAGAGCACTCCAGGTCTGCCTATACCCACGAGACAGTAAGATTCTGAATGAATTCAGTGGGTTATTCACACCGCTTTCTAAAGATGCGAGGACAGAAAATGCAGGTGGTTACTTTCTCTGTCGATACTTACAAAGTTGGACCATACAATGAGTTTTAAGTTCCTTTGTAACTACAATATTCTATGACCTATCACCTCATTTTGTTTTAATTCCAACAGGCAGAAAAATGAATCTGCCCTGGACACAAACACGCGCGTGCACGGACCCTCGTGACTTCACGGACTTAACATGCAGTGTCAATATGAAACTGCTTGTGGCAGCTTTGGATCGTGGCAGTTGATGTGATGTATACAAACATTTCAAGGACTTAAAACTGTGAGCAAAGTTTCTCAAAATATACAGTACGAATCACACTAACTCTGTGAAAGAATGGCTCCTCCATTTGGAATGGACCTTTTAGACAGTAATTTCAGACTTAATTTCCTGCACGGTTTTCAACACATAACCCTGACAGTTTTACCCAAAACACTTCTTGGGATGTGCCTACCACCCTATAACAGACTAAAAATGAGTGGGCAAAAACTCTTAAAATGAGTATTTTAAGAGTTTTAAAATACCTTTGAAAAATAATGCTAAATATTCCATTGTCATCTAAATTCACCCTATTAAAAAAAAATCACCTGACATTCAGCTCCACCTAATTCTTTTATTAAAATACATTTTATTTATTTATCTTTAGAGGGGAAGGGAAGGAGAGAGGAAGAGAAATATCAATGTATGGTTGCCTCTTACGCGTCCCCTACCGGGAACTGGCCTGCAACCCAGGCATGTGCCCTGACTGGGAATCGAACCTCGATCCTCTAGTTCGCAGGCCTGTGCTCAATCCACTGAGCTACACCAGCCAGGCTCCATCTAATTCTTAAAACAAATAGATTTCTAGAATCCTAATTTTAACAATACATGGATTCCTCTGGTTCTGTTATTTTTTAATATGTCATGCCTCTACATTCCCATAAAAATGCCCTTGGGATTTTAGGGTTATGACATCAAAAACGTTCCCCTTCCAGCAGCGACAAGACGTAGTCAGGGGCCGTTCTAGGTAAGCCACTTCTGTTTTGTCTCCACTTTCTTCCACCCTCTACTTGTTACTCCACAGTGATCTGAAAAATCAAGATGTTTCGGTAAATTAAAGAGTAAAAAAAAATTGGGGTCTTGTAAAAAGGTACTACTTTGACTTACTCAGGCAGCAGCACCTTTTATAAGGCACACACCTGGGTACCAGAGTCTGGATTTACATGGAAACATCTAGTGGACTTTGTAGATAAAGGTATTAAAACAGAAGGCAAAGAGTATTAATCCTACAAGACACAATTCCAACCAAAAGGGCCAGCCCCTAAAAGAACAAATTTGTAAGTTAAATCGAGCTAGTTTTTACCCATCCAAATAACTATCCAAGATCACGAAATGTCACCACCATTGTACAGGACCCAACACGAAGACACAAATTCATGTACCATTTCACTTCTCACTCATGGAGAGAAAAACAGCCAGACTTAGACAAAAACTAACGTGATTCATACAGAATAGCTTTTACCAAAAAAAATTGTACTCTTGTACTAGTAATTTATATGTCGATTTAAAGAGTATCATCCTAAGGCTCGCAAGTCATTAAATGTAAGACACTGGGATTCAAGGTCTTTAAACACCAATTAGATTTTTTTTTGGGGGGGGAACACTAGACCCCTAAGTCTTCACTTTTTCTAGACAGAATTCAAAAATGGCTTTCTAGCTCGTTCTGTATCATAGCACCAAGCTGGAAAACCACTTTCCAGCCGCTCTTCCGTTTCTATGGCACTGTTAGGGTTAGCACCCTGCGGTGTCTCAGGACCCCCAGCCCATCTTCTGGGAGACGGGGCCCCAGTGCAGAGAGAGCTGCTCAACACTCACGTTCTCGGGCGTGCTGACCCTGCCTCTTACTAGCTGTGTATCTTTGCACAGATGACTTTATTTTTCTGTGCCCCAAGTTTTCTATCTGAAAAGTACAAATAATGATACCTATATTAAAATGACAGGAAGAAAATGCCAAGTAGAGTAAAAGCTTCTTTCTACATAACTCATCTGGCAAGTCAGTTCACGTTCTTTAGCTTCATGGCATCTAGGAAAAAATAGGCATGTACTATGTCCATTTTCAGGTAATTGTGATTTACCTGTGGCATAGTAAAACCGTTTAACAGAAATCAAACACCGCACATCTTACTTCCCAGTACTTGCCAATATTATTATATTAAAAGAATATGTATAACTTTGGGAAAATTTAAATCTTAGATAAAACAAGTTCCTTCCCAATGAAAGTTCTTCAAGTTGCAAGAGAAAGAATTCCAAAACAATTTACGTACTCCAGGAAAGACAAAGGTAAGTTTCTCTTACTGAGTTAGTCTTAAGGAAACCTGCCTCTTCCCTACCTTAGAACTAAAAGGTAACATTTTTCACTAATACGATAACTTATTATATAAATTAATAAAATTAATAATCCATTTATAATAAATCACTTTAGTATTTCCCCCCCTTATACACAATTGTCAAAAAGCAACCAATGCCCCTAACCTTGCCATTTCTGTGTTGGAAGCATAATGACCCGGTCCAGCGGTGACAATTCAATTATTTAGGGCTTAACTTTCCATTTTAAAGACTCTCCCCACCTTCTGCTCCTCTGGCTCTGCCTGGGTTCACTGGGCTCATTACTGGTTAATGCCACTGCTGGGGAGGCAAGCACCAGAGGCTATTTGCTCAGATGGCTACTAAAGGCTTAGCCTCAAGGCTGACACAGAGGGTCGCAACTTCCCGTGAGGGCTGCTGCTGCGTTCAGGTCACCACGGCAGATAAAGAGTGCCCGGCCGACCGTGCCCCGCCGTCTGTAAGTGATAACAAACACAATCTAGTCCATCCTCAGACTAAAGACTGGCAGAGTAGTCCAACCACTGACATCTTTGGACAAGTAAGAACAAGACTCACGAACCTACAGGCTGAGTAATGACACCTTGTTTTCTTCTGTGATAGTAATACCGTCACGGGTTTTAGAAAGGGCATGGAGGTCATTTTCCACAAACAGCAATTAAAACTAAACAAGAACTAAGACTAGGAGTTTCACTAAAAACAGAGATCAGAAGTGTTTAACATTTTAAACATGACAATTCATATTCCTGTTCTCAGGGATCAAAACTGTACATGCAGGCCCTGACTGGTGTGGCTTAGTGGATCGGGCATCTGATCAGGGCACATGCCTGGGCTGCCAGCTGGGTCCCTGGTTGGGGACCTGTGAGAGGTGGCTGATTGATATTTCTCTCCCTCTTATTCTTCCCCCCTTCCCCTCACTTTAAAAGTAAGTACATAAGCCCTGGTTGGTGTGGCTCAGTGGATTAAGCACCAGATTATCAACTGAAGGGCTGCTGGTGAGATTCCCAGTCAGGCCACATGCCTGGGTTGTGGGCCAGGTCCCCAGTATGGGATGTTCAAGAGGCAACCACACATTAATGTTTCTCTTTCTCCCTCCCTTCCCTTCTCTAAAAAATAATTAATTAATTAAATATTTTTTTAAGGTACATAAAATCTTTTTTAAAAAGGGGAGGGGGAGAAATTATATAAGGAAAAAGACCCATGCAAAGAGTTAGATCTATTACTATACCTTAGAAGGAATGTGAATATCATAGTGAAATTTACATACAGATACAAGTAAAGAAATACTCGATTCAGTCACTCACTGCACACACTTTTAAAGAATAACCTCATAATTCAAAAGAATAATGGAGACTCAAGTATGTTACAACTTAAGCACTGGATGTTCACGGTAGCCTCTAATCTTTGATTTTCTTTATCTGTGAGGTTCCTCAATTACCACATTAAACAAAGCTCAGTAATTTTTCTGTTAATCATTTTTTTAAAGGAAGAAAAAGTGTGATAGGAAGATTTTTTAAAAGAGGGATTAAAGCTATAGAAACTCAAGTCTCCTCATAAAAGGATCTATTTGGGCCTTTCATGAATTGTTCCTTAGTCTCACCCACGGGAGAGTTACTGATCCCCCACCCTGCAGGGAGTTACTGTGGATTTCTGGCAAAGAGTGGATATAGGTCAATCCCTATTATCAAGAACTAATTAAATTACAAATTATCTTGTTGTGCAAGAGCTGTGATATACAGAATTCTGCTTGAAGTTATGAAGCTAGAGCTTAGGCATCTTTGCCACTGAGGAGTTTCCTTGTTAAGGCACCGAATTTAATAGCAGCATCACTTTAATGTGAGCTTCCCTTCCACGCTGTGGCCCAGCCTTTCGAGTGCGTGTCGAGTGCATGGAGAATTTCTCCCCAGTGTGCATGTGACGCACTCCTAGGAAGCCAAAACTTTGGGAGCGCCTTCTCCCCCTCCACACTCTCTCCTGCTACTCCGCCTCCTGCAGCGGCTCTCTTTAGAACAACATAATGAAAAAGCAAAAACAGGATTGTATATATACGCAGTATGTATTGTGAATGCTTACAGTTTCTCTGAAAAATATGTGAATTTAAGCAACAAACTATGCTTGCCTTAAAGACACTAATGGCTTATAAACTATTAAAAATAAGTTGGTTTCTGAAATATCAATTAGGGAGTTCAAAGAAGGGCTTGCAAAGGTTCATGAAACCTCTAACAAAACAGTTTGGGGGGTGGTATGTAGGACTAGGGTGGGGGCATGGCCCGTTTTGCTGGGGAGAGGGTGCACAGCTTCCTCAAAGGGGTCATGGCTCAAGAAAAGGGTAAAGCCACTGCAATGCAATAGATCACTTTTATTTCTCCAAAGAATAACTTTAATTACGCAGAAGGAACAGGGTTAGTTAGCTCCAGCAGTGAAAATGGCAGAGACTCGGACCATCCTGCCTACCTCTGTGTCCCAGGAATCGTGGAAAACAGGGTTTCTACTACTCCTTTTGGTCTGCGGGGGAAGGTGGTGGTCTTCCTCATTGCCATTCCTTCTCCTTTTCCTGAAATTAAACCACAGGAGGCAAAAAAAATTCAACAATTCATCTTTTAGACATTTAAAATTGTAAACCATGAGAACACAGAAATTTGCCCCCCTCACCTGAGGAAATGTAATTCATCAGAGGATAGTCCAACAGGTTAAAATTGGAAGTACACTATTACTAGACACAAAAGCAAACATAAAATAGTAGCAGTAAGGTCAAGCTTAAATTAATGTGACTAACTCTAAAACAGAGGTTTGACAATTTTAAATGCCTACTACAAATAAATCAGAGCAGGAAGGTAATGACTGACTCCAGCTAATTAAGGTTATCATCTTTCTACACTTCCTGAAATTACAATTCCAAGTTCATTTTACTCCCTTCCAAATGACAACACTGTGTATTAAGACAGGAACGGCTGGCTGCCTCTGCCTACTTTACCCTGAAAATGCACATAAAAATTTTGGTGCTACTACAACAATATCCAGAGGTTTGTGGTAGCTGCTAATCTTTAGTTTTTCCTCATCCCTGATTTCCCCCCAATTATCACGTTAAACAGAAGCACTGAAAAAGCTGCTCTTGGACACAAATTTGATTATTCTGGCTAAGCAGCGCACCTAGAGTCATGATATAAATTAGATTATTTCTTTTAGACTATAGTAGAAGCTGCTTAAAACATATAGCTTTAAAGAAAAGTCAGGCCTGGCTGATGCGGCTCAGTGAAGTCAGCAGCAGCCTGGAAACCAGAAAGTTACCAGTTGGATTCACAGTCAAAGCAAAAGCCTGGGTTGGGGGCCGGGTCCTCAGCTGGGGGCGCACCAGAGGCAACTGCTCAGTGTATCTCTCACACATTGATGTTTCTCTTCCTACTTCTCCATCCCTTCCCTTCTCTCTAGAAATAAATTACAATGTTTTTTTAAAAAGAGAAAAATCAGACGCCTTTTTCAGTCAAGATGACACCTTTTTCAGTCACGTTCTCAGATGTGCTAGAGAGACAAAACATGTATTTTCCTATGCAAGAGTCAAGTGTTGTCATAAGAACTTCTAAACCCCGGCCAGAAAACAAATTATAGGAGGTATCATTTTAAGTCAAATTGCCTGGAACTGTGCTGTCCCATAGGGTAGCCACTAGCACATGTGGCTAAATACATTTAAATTAATTAAAATAAATAACATTAAAAACCCAGTCCCTTAGTCATGCTAGCCACACGTCAGCTAGTGGCCACTGTAATGAACAGCACAGACATAGGGGGTTCCCATCACTGCAGAAAATGCTATAGGACACTACTGACCAGAGGCCAATTTACACAAAGAAACATAATCTACTGTAATGAAAACTCTGAAAGGTTCAAATTTTTAGAGCGAGAGGGAAAATGGCTTTTTGGAAAGTTTAAATTTCAGCATATGGTACCTTCTCTATAACTCCCTACCTTCTGTGTGAGGAGGGGCAGGCGCTTAATCCTACAGTTTTGAGGTGAGGTCTGGATAATGAAGGAACTTTATCTCCGTGAGCTCAATTCCCTGTACTCAGCAACATTCTGAGTACATCTAATGTTATTAATGACTTTGGATCCAGTTTAGGCTTGGAATGATAAATACTGGGTGTAGAGTTCTGATAAAGTATGAACCGGTCAGCAGAGGACTACACAGTTTCTTTCATTCTAAGACTCAGCATTTCGGAAAATAAGATCATCATTTCTGCTTCCCACCTTTCTCCCAGTAGATTAGATCATATTTACACATTACCTTAAAATACTTGGAAGCTAAAAACTAGATGAATACCAGTTTTTAGTAATCACTAAGTACATGTTATTATCACAGATTTGAACCAAGAAATTGCTTTCATCCTCTTATGACCAGAGAACGTTCATGGGAATATGAAGAAGTTACAGAGCAATGTCTAGTGGAAGGCCAGTTGACATCTAAAGAGAAACTCATGACATGGCTCTATGTTGGTCCCCAAACTCTTCTTTTATCAGTGTGACAACAGCTGATTTCGTGCTTTGGGCTGCTGACTCACTCTTACCAAACTCAGAAACCTGACCAAAACTTTCCGATTTCCTCATTTATTTATTCTCATCTTACCAGTAACATGAATACAAGTGTCAAGAAGATTTCGAGGCAGAAAGAGTGTAAAAACAGAGGATACGCTGGTTTTGCAGATTTTAACTAAACTTTGGGAAAGTCACATGAACTATCTCAGCCTCATAATTAGCTGATTTCTCCAAAGTACCAGAATTATCTCTTTTGCCTGGTAAGGGCCCTCTCTTCTGAATGGAACTGGATAGAAAATGAGCTCTAGTTGTTTCTCAGTTCTCCTTTTTCCAGACTCTTTTCGGATTCTGTCCCGTAAACATTCTACTTTCAACAATATCAATAATTGGCAAGATTACAGTTTCATGCTCAAGCCTATCCATACAATCGGTCAGATTATAGCTTTCAACATTAATGCCATAGACCAGGTTATAATTTTAGCAGTCATCCTATAATTGATTATATTCCCCCTAACCATCTAGTTACAGATTATTATTTAGCTCTGCTACTTCTAAGGATAGCTGATTGCATCACTTCATCATTTTACTTCTCTGCAATCTTTCTGTTGTCTCCTAGAGACTGGGCATAGAAGAAACCCTGAAGAATAGAAGCTAGTGGTTTTCAAAAAATTATTAACAAGGAACAGAACCCTTTCTCCCTACCTCCCCCCACCCCAAATCCCTCAGGATATGAGATAAAGGATCTGTTTTGGTTAAAGAAAGGGCTTCTTTGCCACACACCCATTCCTGTCCTGCTATCCCACTATACTGTGAAACAATTAAGCATCTCTGACCAACTCTTCATCTTAGCATTGAGGAAACAGCACCAGAGAAGTGAACTAACTCAGAGATACCAAGATAGCTGGAGCTGGCAGAGCTGGTCCATTACGCATCAGGAACCGGGTGAATAGAAAAGTAGGTAAGAAACCCCATCTAAATCAAATGACCCCTTTTATGGTACTAAGTTACCAGTATAAACATGTCAGCACTATTTGTGTACTAGAGAAAAGGAATCTGCTCCAATATAAACACATTGAGAATATTTGTATACAGTGTTGGATGAAAGGAGTATTTTCGTAGGAAATACTTGGAACTTTTTGAGATATGTGAGGCATCTCAGGAGACTATCAGAACACCATAAATGGGTTGAGAAGGGGGAAAAAGGCAGATCAGGCTTACTATACTTAAGGACTTTGTTACTAATTCTGACATGTCAGTGGTAATTGGGCCCCTAATGTCACATTTAGTTCACTATTATTTTCTATAAAAAGAAGCTTTATGCCTCAGTCACTACATAATCCAAAATATTCCTATGCATAAGTTTGAGAAACCATAGCTTTTCACTACTGAACCAAGTAACCTCCGGAAGATTTCCAGAATTTTAATTCAATGAATTAACTATCATCCAGAGCAGGATCCTCATCGAAAGACTATCAGTTACATTCACAGCCAAATGAAACATAGAACAAAAAAAAAACACCATAGAACAAGAAAATATACAGCATAAAACTGTCAAGGCAATCAATCCTATTTTATTCACTTAAGACTCACCGAGACTATTATAGACTAAAGGAAAGAGCAGTGAATCTGGAAGACCCAGGTATGCCAGCTGAGCTCTCTAAGTTTGTTTTCTCATCAGAAAAAAATAAGAGTCGGACTTGGTGATCTAAATGTTTTCACTTCAAACTCCACGATGAAGGACTGCTCTAATTTGAAATAAAGCTGATCCTTTTCATTCTGGGGCACGAAATCCTAACTTACTCCTCTCCACATTGTAACAGGGGTAACTAAGAAGAAAGACTCGCAGGTTGGTCCGGACTCTGCTCAACATTATGTCAAACAAGCCTGAAACCCATAACCCAGGTCTGAGGCCAGGCTCCGTGGGAAAGTGCTGTATCGCGATACAATCCTCCCTGCCTCCCACCTTCGTAAGCAACGGCTCCGCTTCCAGTTTAGAATCCACTGTTCTAACGCCAGAGCCAGAGAGACTCCACCAGGCACTTCGGTAATCTGCCCTTCCTTGTTCACAATCGTTCAGGACACAAATTCTTCCGTCTAACCTAATCCCTCCCAGCTGCAGGGTTAAACTCAATCCTTCTTTCTGACCTTGAGGACACGCAGCTCCCTATCCCTTCGCAGATGCACTAGGTGCTCCTCCTATAAGATTAGACATTCTTCCCATCCCCCTCCTAAATTTAGGACAGGGACGCTTTAGGGCCACAGTCTCTCTTCCGGGACCGACTAGAGTTCATCTCAAACAGAGAAAGATGAGGTTGGAAAAAGATGAGATTGGGGGGTGACCTGGACCCTGGAGTCACTCCACCAATACCCTCAGGGATCAGGTACCCAGAGCACTCTCACATCCCGCTCCCCTCCTCCCCCGGACTAGAGCACCCAGATAAAGACCCGCAGAGCCCACGCTTGATCGCATCCCGCTTTGTGCGCCCCCATCGACTCCATCCTTCAAGACTGAGGCGAAGGGTTGGAAAGGAAAGGGGGGTCCCTATGGTCTCACCTGGGGCGGAGGCGCTCGCTCATGGCAGCGGGTGGAGGGGAGCGACGCGGAGCCGCACTGCGAGAAGAGGGAACAGAGGGTGTTGTGCTCCGGCGGCCGCCACGCCCACCCCCTCGGGCCTTGGCTCTCGCCGCGGCTCGGGTGGACTGTGCCGGTGGTGAGTACCCCTCGGTGGGACCCGTACCACTGCTACTTCCGGCGTCTGCTCCGCGCCCCCCCATGTCGCAGCCGCCTTGGTACCGCCCTCTCGCGGCTGCGCAGTGACGCGTCCCGGCCGCGCTGATTGGTAACCCCGCCTACAGGAAAAGGCGGGCTTGGAGGGGGAGGAGCAACTGGGAACTTCTGGGAGAACGAGGACCTCATTAGAGTGTCGGGAGCTTTCGCCTGTTCACAGCTTTGCGGAAACAGCGTAAAAGTCAAGCAATATTTAAATGAAATGAAATTATGTCATAATATTAAGATCTAAGTATTTGAGTTAAGTCCCTCTGAGGTAAAAAATTTTTTTAAAGTAGCTGAGAAGCATCAGGCAGTTATGTAGGACCGCCTGCCGGGGGTCCCGGGACCGGGAGTTGAGTAGCTGCGCGTGAAATGCTTTGGGGGTCTTGCCGCGGGGGCTTCCTGGATATTTACGTCTGGGCGAGGAAGTTGGTTTAGGTGAGTCTTGACGGGCGGGCTTTTTCTTCTACGGCCCCGGCCCTAGGTCTGGAAGTGACTGTCCTGAGCCTAGAGGGGAGTCGATCGGGTGGCGAGCCAGATTGGGGGGCTTCCTGGAGTTGCGAAATAAGCCCCCTTTGGCGTCCCGGTGACTCCAGCGCCTCGGACCGCGGAGCTGCCTGGCGGTCCCTGCTCTCCGCTGGAAGCTACAATACCGCTTTATGAAAAGTAGGGAAGCAGGGAGGAAGGCAGGCGGAATAAGGCGGCCGGCAGAGGAAAGGTTTGCTGGAGAGCGCAGGAGGTGTGGTCGAAGATTAACATAACTTTAAGATAGACTCTGTGCCCGGGAGGCTGGTGAAGTCCGGAGCACCAAAAGAGAACTTCTCGACTGATAACTCAGTTATTTCTATTTTGTTCAGTACCGTCGACTTCTCTGATTGTGTCTTGCACAGGCTGACATTAAAATCTAGTTTAATTCTGTCAAACCCGGGAACGGCGATCGGGAAGCGTGGAGGTCCAGGAACAACAAACGCAAAATTAGCATCTTTACAGAGAAGGCCAGGTAAGCAGTCAGGCACCCACAATAAGACTTTACCATATGAGGGTAAAGAGGTTTTTTAGTGATTTAAAGTGTGACGGTGGAGTACTGTAGAAGCAGACAGTCGAACAGAGGTCTCAAAAAGTGATTAGCCTATGGCCAGGGACTGGCTTTAGTTGTATTTTTGTAAATAAATGACCCATAACTTTCTTTATATCGTCAAAGGGGGTTATCTCCGAGGTAAGAAAATCACTGTGAGTCTATTGGTAGAAAACAGTTTTGGTTTGCCTGACTTCATGTAGGATAAGGTGGGTTGGTTGCTTTCATAAATGCTATGGCGAAGATTATATCTATTTGTTCTGTAAATGGTTTCAGAGTCTCACTTTTTTACCTATTTAGTGGTCATAAGAAATTCATACTTATAGCACTTTATAATAACATTTGTGTATTTATATGCAGAGAAGGCATTCATTATGCAAGTGTCACATGCCAGGCTCAGAACCCGGTGTTGAGAATACAGCTGTGCACAGAACAGATATGTCCTTGCCCTTTGCAACTTAACTAATCTGTTAATGTTAGCAGAGCTTCATTTCTCATGCTTAAATAATGGAAGTGCTAGTATTTTCTTCTTGCACCCAGTGAATCTTCCATATATATCACTTTAGAAACCACTACTATAATCCGTCCCCTTCGAATCATGTCCTGGTTTGTTGCTTTTTTGAATGATGTGTTTAATGGGTTTTTAACAATTTGTTTACACTCATGTGATATCCAGTTGACTTGCTACAATTTTAAACAGCAAACTTTTTGGACAGGTATTTGGACATCTTTTCCTTCCACTGGTCTCACTTGCCTCCTGGTCAGGGGTGTGGATTTGATCGTCTTTTGTAATGATTGATTCCTAGAAGACTTCCTAAGGTAAAATACCAAGTATAAGTGGAGCCAGGGGTGCTTATCTAAAAATCAAACCATGTCTTCAATTTTCTACCTTTGTAAGAAAAAGAACAGGTTAAAACAAACCTTTAAAAATTATCTTTAACCCAGGGGTTTCAAATGAATTTTAAAAGGTATAAAACAAATAAAATACGGGTATTTACAAATTACGTGCTCCTCATAATCTCATATTCACCTTTTTCAGGAATAGGAGAGTGACATTCCACCCAGAATGGAAGTGTGTCCTTATTGTAAGAAGCCATTTAAACGATTAAAATCCCACCTGCCCTATTGTAAGATGATACAACCAACGACACCTGCCGACCGAAATGTTTGTCAGTCCAAGCAGACTGCACTCGCACGTGCCAAAAAAATGAAAAGTCCAGTCAAAGACTTAATTAAAACTAACGGGAAAGAGTTGGGGACAAAGAGTGAGAAAAGAAATACTCAGCTGATAAGGGATAAACCAGAACAGACTAATGAGTCCTTTCCACTACCAGCTATTGGTTTGGAAAAAGCAAGTCATACAAAGGCAGGAAAAGAAATCAAGAATCAAATTCAGCTCTCCCTCAAAATGTTAAATCCTGAACCAAAGGATTTGTTCAAGGGAGAAACAAAGGCTCAGTTTTATGCATCAAAGACCACTGTTCCTAAAAGAGGACTTGCCAAAGATTTGCCTAAATCACAGGAAAGCAAAAATAATGCTTCAGAAACTAAAGCATCTTTACCTTTTGGCCCAATGGAACCTTTGTCAAATCAAGATAGAAAATATTCTTCAGCCTTACCTAATGATGAACAAATCACTTCTGCTGATTTAAACTTGGACAAAATTGATCCCTCAAGACAGAAGTGTCTAGTAAAATTACTAGAAATGCCTACTGGAGATTATCATAGTTCTCCCATGAATCTCAATGATGGAGGTAAAAGAATAAGAACATCACGTTCAAGCAATGAGAGCAGTTCCAAAGCCAGGGACCACCTTTTGGAAGTCTGTTCTGATGTTAGAGACTCTGAGAATGAGGAAGAGAACATGGAATCACAAAGTTTAGGTTTTAAAGTTAGCCCATTCGGTAAAATCCAAGTCAAGGAGAACCCAGGAAAAGGACTTCACCTTGGAGTAGAAGCATGTGGGAGCCAAGGACGGGCACAGAAAAGTGCATCTGCTACAGAAATGCAGGAATGCTCTTCCACGAGCAATGACTCTAAGAACTTCAGTACAGATGAGTCAGCCGCAGAGAAGAAATTTCAAGATGAGGGTCCCAATTTAAATAAGTTCATAACAAGGGAGATGACTTGCAATGAGTTTCTTCCTGTATCACAGTCATGTAATCAAAATCTTACCTCTCTGGCCATAAAATTTCTTCAAAAAGAGAAAGCAGAAGCCTTTGATCATGATCAAGTCCATGATGTAAAGGCACTGACGGAGAGTGAGGAACAACCTTCCATGGTGCCCAAATCTGGTGTTGGGCCCCCTGCCTCACACCCTGAGTGCTGGCAGTCTTTATCTGCTCCTAAGCATTATACTTCTAAAAGCCTCGTCACCAGGCAGATGAATATTTTCGACAGGAAGACCCTTCCTAGCTCCCTGGGGCTGGAGTGGTTTCCAGAGCTCTATCCTGGTTATCTTGGACTAGGGGTGTTGCCGGGGAAGCCTCAGTATTGGAATTCAATGGCCCAGAAGCCTCAGCTCATCAGTCCAGAGGGGGAAAGACTGTCACAAGGTAAACATGCTCATTTTCAAGGGGCCATCAGCTCATACACACTACTCAGTGCCTTTTGAATTAATAAGACTCAAGACCCTTTCATTTGGCTTTTTTTTGTTTGTTTGTTTTTACTGGGGCATTTAAGTGCACTGTTTTAAACATTTCTTCTTGCCCCCAAGGTAACTAGTTTATCATTCTCCCTTCCCCTCTGATAGTTGCAGGTTGGGCAAGGCCAGGCTAGCTGGTGATACTGCTAATAGTTGAATTTCTACACTGGAAAGAGCCATGGCCAGTAGAAGAAACTGGGTGGGCGTGCAAGCTGAACAGACTCAAGAAAAACAGACTACAGGGTCCACCTAAGTAGAACAAGTACTGTGTTCAGATTTCAATCAGGACCAGGTTGTACACAAAACAGCTTCCAGGTTCATGGTCAAATGCAACATCTGGGAATTTGGAGTAGCAAAGAAGGTACAAGCAGACACTGTATTTGGATTTGGGGGCAGGATGGGATTAAAACTGTCCAGGGATGCATGTCAGTTCAAGTAGGTAAGTGAAGGTGGAGGTTCAGGAGGTGAGGACCAGGAATAGAGGGTGTGGCAAGAAAGGTGTGGAAGTCCACACACTCGAAAAATTAGTCCACAGAGAACGGGACCCAAGTGGAACCAGAGACTCAGCCTTGAGCAATTAGGGTAGGCGGGGGGACATCGACTGGACATTGAAGCATCTGGACTGTGAGTCAATCTCTTCAGAAGATTCCTAGATACTCCTTGCTGATGGCCGACAGTAGTTTAACTAGTGGGGAGGACTTAGGCCCAAGTAGTAGTCAATCCAAGTTCCTGGCAGTCATTTCAGTATCCTTGGTTTTTCCTGGTTGTCATCTTTACGTGTTGGACTACCCCTCTGTTGCAGTACGTAAAGTTATTTTCCTCATCAGGAAGGTTTGGGTACCTGCCCCCCCCCTTTTTTCAGGTTTTCTAGGGGCATAATTAAATATTAAATAGCATCCATCTTTTTTTTTCAAGTAGTGTTTTTGGTCCTTCAGGTTTATTTTAACAGGAGACCTGTAGCAACTCAGAATAAGTTCGTGCCTGGGAAATTTGTACTGTCTCTACCTAAAAGGACATATTTTCCCCTCTGGTATATTCTGTAAATGATCATGTATTCACTAAACACCAATTTGGTCTCAAACACTTTCTTTTGTATTTTAATTATTCCTTTCTAAAGACTTCAGAATGGAAGTGTGTTAGGTAAAGAGTGTTAGCCAAAGCTCCATTTTCTTCACCTGCCTCAGCAGCCACTGGTTTTTGTACAATCATCTAGGCTCTCTTTACAAAGTTGTCTCAAGCCCCTTCCCAGTATTAAGCACAGAATGGATATTAACATGGGTGTTGCTCTGTGAATTTCAGAGTGCTTCTGCCTATTTTCCTGTGTTGACTTCATCACTCTGAGAGGTGGCCAGAGGGATTGTATCTGCTTTGCAGATGATGAAACAGGCACAGAAGGGAAAGTAATCTGTCCAAGGTCATGCTGCCAGTAAACGGTAGGGTTGCAAGTAGAGCCCGGTCTCCCGAGGCCTGGTTTAATCCTTTCCATGAAACCATGGTGTAGAAAGCATGCCCTAACTAGAAATGTAGGTGTTTGTCATATCTGTGTACTTCTCCGATTTCCAGTTGCATCATCACAGAGCCCATAACAAATCTTTCTGGCACAGAGAAGGACTTCTTTATTTTCTGAACTATCTTTTATAGCACTAAGGAGTGTCCCTGATACATCCCCTTTTTGTTTTGGAAGAAAAGGGGAGGGACTTGGCATTCGTCACGTGATCACCATTTCATTATGCTTGGTACATTACATTATTATGTCACTTATCCCTCATAACAACTCTTAAGTGATGTCACTGGCCCACCCCTTTTTACAGGTGAGGAATCTGAGCCTCAGACATTAAGTGGCTTGCTGTGTTTGTACAGTAAGGGACAGTCAGGATTCAAATCCAGGTCCATCTGACTTGAACACCCATGGTCTTTAAACTGCCTGAGGCTACTCTTTGGGGCACTTAGTGGTCAGTATTGTGGTTGATGTAAGTTATTGACACTCACTTTAATGGATCCCAACAACATAGCAATAATAAGGTAAGAGATACAGTAACATGTCACCAAATCACTTGGCTTGTGAGATTGAATATGCAGGAGAATGACAGTCTTGCCTTCAGCAGTAAGTTCCTCCACAGTGGCAGTTAGAAACCGTTACGTTCCCTCCTGTTGGTTCATCTGCAATAATTGAATAGTGTTAGTTCTATCAGACAGTGCGTGGCCATTCCAGGGCCTTTGTTTCTATTACGAACTGAAAACTATAGTGTTTAGGTCCACGATTAATGTTCTGACTTGGATGCTCTCACTGAATGAGACCCTAGGATCTCAGGTCAAGACCTGACTGTTCAGTTGGCCAAGGACTTCAAGGCCATCTAAGTCCTCAGAGATTAAAAGGTAATGTGGCAACTCAGCCCAGTCATTTCACTGGGCAGTGCCTACCTCCAGTGAATGCAAACTAAAGTCAAATTTTCATGGAATCTTTGCAGCAGCGCATGGACTGTACTCCCTTGCTCAGGCAAGACCTTTGGTAGACCATTCAGTTGATTCCTGACAAAGGACGCCAACTCATTTCATTGACACTGGCAGGGCCAGTGAGGTAACAATTACTGAGTTAACTTTATGTTGCCTGTGATGCCTGCATATCTACTAATCCTGAGATACTGGTCTTCAGCCTTCTTAAAGACGAGGAAACTGGGGTCCAGATGATGTCAGATACGCTTTCCTGCGTAGGGAGACCTGTAGCAGCAGCTAGTTCATACACACAGGATACCTGAGTGAGCCATGTAAAAGTCCACCAGATGAAAGGCACCCAGGGTCTGGGGAAGCAAGAAAGGCTGTCTTGTCATTTTGCTGAAACAGCGTGGAACCACAAGCTCTCAGAAGACTGACGGGAAGTGGGTGATGCACTTTGGTGCCTAGGCTGGGAGGTCCCGATGCAGACCAGTAGTTCTGAGGGTGCCACAGGGTTTTAGTAAGTCGGGTGCGAATTTGACAGGAGTTCAGAGGTATCAGGAGTCATTTTTTGAGGTTCAAGTGAAGATTTTCATGGACCTATTACAAAAATTAGTAGTTTCTCTGGTCTGGAAGAAAGTAGATTTTGCAGGTTGAAGATTTAAATCTCAAAAGACTCAACAGGTACAATTGTCTGCAAGTCCTTGGCAGTAGGAACTAGTTTCCGTTGTTGAAAGCTCTCAGGGTCCCCGCAGCCTGGAGAACGTCTGGCTGGAAGCACTTGGCTGAGCCTTTGCAGAATTTTGGGTGCTTAGAGATTCCTAGGCATTGTCCCCCAAGACTTGATTCTAAAGTGAAGGCCTGGAATTCATGTTTTCAGGCATCTCCTAAGTGTTGAAGAGCAGCTAAGATGGAGAACTGCTAGTGTGGGGGACGGCACCAGAGTGGGCACCCAGCAGGGAAATGGTCTCCAACAAGTGGTGGGGGAGGACAGTTGGAGAGAGACACAGTTTATGTAACTACCAAAAGCAAAACTTGGCTGATGGGGAGACCAGAAGGTACAGAGAAAACCAGATAGGGTCATGGTTTTTGTAAAGAAAGACACAGCTAAATAAAGGCTCTTTTCTAACCTTCAAACAGCCTTTCCATCAACAGGGTATCTGGGAGATGTTTGAGATGGGGCACATGGGGAAGGGCTTAGGGGACTCAGGGTCAGACTTAAGCAGGAATATGACAGGCCAGGATCGGGTCCCCTGTTGGCCAGACAGTTCATGAAAGGGGGTGTTTTAGGTAAAGGAGCATGTGCATAACCAACAGCCAGAGACTTGAGGGGTAAGTCAGATCATGGGTCCGGGAGGCCAGAGCGCTGATAGGAAGCGTTAGAGGTCTGGAGGGTGGCCGAGGGTTTTCGGTGGTTATGTTAGAGTGGGGCCAGGGTCACTGGAGGGTTGCCCTACGTGAGTTTAAATGGAGCCTGACATGGACGCTGTCAGGTAAAAGAGTGTCTGGGAGATGAGATGGCAAAGGCATGGCAGTGGTTGTCAGCAGCCCCGGGCCCACAACCAGGCTCCAAAGGATGTAAATCGGAGCCCAGAGTAGCTGGGCAGCCAGAAGATGTTGGAAAAACTAATAAGACTGTGGGTTCTGAGCTGATCTGACCTGGGCTTCTGCATCCCAGCTCAGGGCCTGAACTGATGTCATGCCCGGAACTTTGACAACCGGTAAGGAAGGAAGTAGGATCAGCTGGTTGGAGAAAGAACAGAGTCAAGGAGCCACCCAGTTCCTCGTGCTGCTGAGAAAGTCGTACAGTTGTGATTTTCATGAAGTGAAGAAGATTTTCACCCCATCTTTTCCTTCAAAAGTCTTCCCAGATGAATGGGTTAAATCATGCTTTTTTTTTTTTTTAAGAGCCTGATCTTCACCTTACAAGAGAATTCTGTGTAATTTCTCAGAAGCCAGCATAGTTCTTTTCATGACAGTCATTTGGCCAGTATTTCTACATCCACAGCCACTTTTACCATACCTGCTAAATCTGTCACAAAAAACAGGTACAGGAAAAATGTAAATACGTAGCATAAACCCTCCTTTCTGGTTCTAGTTAGATGTGTATTGAACATGAAGAAGAAACGCTTGCTGCTTGGCAGTGATGGGGTACTAGAACAGACACTGATTCTAGATACAATGACAAGTAGCTATAGTAGAAGTCATGCTTCTCACTAAGACATTTTAGCAGATGATAGGAAAGAAAGGTCACTTCATTAGGCATGTACACACAGGTCATCTGCGCAGAATGTTCATCAGATCAGAAGCGTGTCCAGGCCCCGACCCCGGGCTTCCCTCCGCCGTTTGAAGAGCCTTCTTTTCACCTGTGGTGGACTGCTCTGACCCTGGGCACTTAGAGTAGCCCCAGCTCAGTGCACAGCTTGAGAATCTGCTCCTCCTGAGGCCCAGCCCTGGGAACCTGGGGTGCAGAGTGTTGGGGCAGGATGGATTCAGATGATCTGTCACTGTGACTTCTGTTTGGAACCACAGTTCCCCTGTTGGAAAGAAGTTCGACTACTCTGTGGAGTGGGGAACCCCCGACCAGGCCTGCCACCTCCAGTGTCTCTCTGACAAGGCTCTTGGGAGCTCTGCAGAAAGGTGAGGCCGCAGGCATTGCTTGTTGGTTCTGTTGCAGGTTCCAAGCATTGGGAGAACTTTCCCCTACTTAGTCGTGACCGTTACAGCATGGCTAAAGAAAAGAGATAAAGGCGAGGTCTTCCTGCTCTTATGTTTGGTTTCACACTGGAGACTGACATCATTGGAAGCACCAAAGTTAATAAAATAGCAGCTGCCATTTATTGAACAACTTTCAGTTGTCAGTCCTTCCCCGCCTCTCTGCTACCTACACCCATCTCTCCCTGGCTCACAGTGCTCGTCCCAAAGCCAGGAAGACACTGAACCTTAGATTGACCAGTCATTTGTGTTCGTCTCCTCCCCATTATAGATTTTCACCAAACTGCCAAAAACGAGTAATTTAAGTTTCTTCAAATGAAGGTCTTCTAGACTTTGGCCTTTTCATCTGTTTAAACAGGCTTGACAGTTTATAAATTCTTTGAATTACAGTTCCATCGCCCAAGCTAATGGGGATAACTCGCAGGCAAGCCTCAGGCACAGCTCAGGGCTCCACTGTTTCTTTTTCAACAGGCTGGATCAAGTGCAGCACCTCCGTGAAGAGTGGAGTTGGTGGCATCACGATGCTCTTTACAGGATACTTCGTTCTCTGTTGTAGCTGGAGTTTCAGGCATCTGAGTAAGCCCTTCTCTATTTTCAGCCTCAGTTACAGGTCACATCCCATTAAAGGCGCCTCCAAGGGATTCTCCGAACTGCTTTTTATAGCTTTACAGTTTGGCACAGTTGAGTGCAGCTAGTGAGTGGGCTAGTGCCCGAGGCACTGGGATTCTTTTTATTAAGAGGGTTTTGGTTATAATGGCCTTTATAAGACTTGACTAGAGTTTACATAATGCTCTTGTGCTCCATTTAAGGTTGTCACTGGAGATCTGTTTGCCTCCTAGAAGATCAGGCCAGTTCTCCTTGGTGACTTTTTAATTCCTTCCTAAGAATTCCTTTTTTAGATTGAAACTGGCTTTCCACCCCCAAAAGAGGGGAGAAACAATACAGCTGTCACTCATCAGCTTATAGCTGTCAGGGCTGATTTACTTTTAGCAATTCAAAAACACCCTTCTAGTTACAAGGTAAATGCCTGGATTTCATTTCTTTTAGTTCAGGATGCCTTTGGCTCATTTTTAAATGTATTGTTCTATAAAAATACAGTTAAAAGTTTAAAAAGATGTATAGAAAGATATTAAAAAAGTATACTTTCAGATGAAAACTTCTGGTGTAAAAGGACAAGGTAACCATTAACATTAATAACAGCTAGTGGAATTCATGAACTAAAACAGCGGATCTTTTGGCCGAGTCAGTGCCAGTGAGCAGGAGGGCAGGCCCAGCTGCAGAGATGGGACGGAAGCGCCTGTCCGGTGGCTGGTCGCACTGGGTGGGACTGCTCTAGCACACCTGGGCATCGGTGAGAAAGGGGTTCCTCTGACCACCCCACATAAATGGAGACCGTCAGCCTTCGCCTGTGTGAAGGGACAGCTGAGGTTATTTTTTTACATCTGTAAATTGAGACGGCAGAAAATGAAGCTGAAACTTCTCATTGTTGGCTGAGACTATTTCCCAGTGTGACAGCATGATCTGTAGAGGCAAGAGATGAAAAGTCGATTGAAGTGGACTCCTGGATCCTTACATTTATCTCTGTTTATCCACAGAGCTGCCTCGCTGGCGGTAATGGTGACCTGGACGCCACTTAAGAACGCCCTGGAGCACCATGAGCATGAGCTGCAGAGACTGTGGGACTGTTTCACAAAGCCTCCAATTCTACTGGGGGCGGGAAGAGGGAGGGGAAAGAATAAATTATTGACTCCAAAGAAATTGTTTAGGAAGTTTGCTTTTTAATGTGGACAGATCTGATTCTGTCTGGGTATTTCTTGGTTTGCTCTCTAAAATGACTGGAAGTTACTGAAAAAAACAAAACAAAACAAAACATCACTTTGTTTTATCATAAAGGCTGATGTTATTCACCAGGGCGTAGCAATGACAAAGTGTCGTTAAAACCTTTTAGTGATTTCCCAATTCTCAGTAAAAACTAGTATCTCCACTTTAAATCTTTCTCCCTGACAGTCTCTGAACCTTGCACATTACCATCCATCTATACTAGGGACTGAGCGGCATGTGCCTTACGCGATGTCAGGTCACCTTTGGTGCATCTTCAGTGACTGCAGCGGTGAGCGGTGGTTCTAGTGCATCGTCTCTTTCCGGAAACTTCTCAGGACCCTGCCCCGTCCCTCCTCAGAACTTTAAGGGAAACACACTGCTTTCACTTGTTCAGGGCTGTTTTGGGCTGGTGCATTTTCTGTGACTCTTTCCCTCTTCAAAATACTTCGTTTTTCTAATGTTTTCTAATTCTGTGACTTCTGCTTTGGCCCCTAGAGAATAACTTGGATACTTAGAGATAAAAAATACCTATCTATAAATATCCAAAACAGGTAGATGACTGTTTCTTCAACCCCTTTTCTAGCACAGGGGGTTGATTCAGATAGAGGTGTACAGCTATGCCTCTATCTAAAGATTTTATATATAAATACACGGGTGGGAGTACGAGAAGCAGAGTTTACGCCTGTATTACAGTTATTGTACTTACTATTACTGACCTACATTGGCCTGCCCCTGTGCGTGTGTGCATGTATTTTTGCTGTGTTATCCTCAAGCCAGAACACAGGAGTCAGGCCCTCTGTCCTGGCTCCTTCACATCAGGGGAACACAGGTGTGCTGTTCAAAGGCTAGCATTTATTTACCTGCACATCTCTCCTCAGAACTTGAATTCTGGCTCTATCTTCTGCTGCATCTGCCTTTTCTATGCCAATCCTCTTTCCTCTCTTCCTCTTGAATTATCCCCAGTGGGAATAATTTAATATTGCATCAACTTCTTCTGTTTAAGTAAAGGTGTACTAGTTTCCCATAAGGAAAAATGCATGGTTGAGGGAAGGAATACTACATTTACTTATTTTCGTTTAATATTACTAAGAGTTTAATTGGAACTCCAAAGCTACTCCTTTTCATTTGGAAGGGCTTTGTGCCCATTCTTTGTAAATGCCCTTAACAGACACTCAGAATCTCCCTCGACCTCCCCCTTTGTCCTCACTCTGGATCAGAAACTCAGGGTAGGCAGTCGACAGTGCCCTCTCTCTCAGTTCCCCGGACGCCCACCGCCTGTTCTCATCAAGCCTTCCTGGAGCGCGGCCCTGCCCGTGTGGTTAGGTGGCCGCTCTCCCTGCAGTGGCAGTGGGTACAGCAGAAACCATGTGGCCCGCCAACCTGAAAGTGCTCGGCTGTCTGACCCTTGACGGACAAACCCCCGCCCCAGAGGAATGGGACGGCTCACAGTCTCCGTCTTGGAGCGATGAAGACAGGGTTGCTGCTTCGAGTCATTTTGGGGTTAGCAAACGCAGAAACAGGAGCCTTTCTGGACCTAGTGGCCTGGTGCCCTAGCGTGGTCCCTGAACTGCCCACAACACATTAAGTGCAGTGGTGGCACTGAGCAGTAGTAGCTGGAAGTCCCCCAAGGTTTTTATCAGGAATCTTTGTGTTCACTATTGTAAATAAACTAGGGTCACTGGTCATCATCAGAATGTGAGAACAGTGGAAAGGTTCACGTTAGTTACGCCACAGCAAGTACTTTCCACATCCCTGGAAACGAGAAGGAGGGACTATGTAATGACCCATCAGTCCTCAAGGGCTGTCTGCTTCATCTTGCCAAGTTTCAGGAAAAAGCAGATCCTCCATTAATGAGAGGGTCTTTAGTGTGACATGGTTAGTACCAAGAACCCAGCGGGAAAGGGCAAATTCTAGCTGATCCCTCAGAATTAGACTGAGCATCAAGTCTTGAAATGATGGCAGTGACTTTGAAGCCATCGGCAGGCTCTCCAGACTCTGCAGTTAGTTGGTCATGTTCAAAGTTAATGGAGGGAACAGGCTCCCCATGTACTCATTGCTGCTGTCTGAGGTGGGAAAATACTTGACCTTTTAGCAAATCTTACAAGGATTTCTTTGTTCAAAATAGTCGAAGAACGTTGTTGAGGTCAGTGGATGATCACTTTTCTCCCTTGACTGAGGTCTGAACTCAATGATCAAGGAATGCACTTCACTGCTCTCGTCTGCAGTGTTGGTGTAAACTTGCCTTCTGAGGATACATTCATTGTTCTTACATGCAAATGCCCCTACAAGGTAAGTTCATTTCCACGCCAGTCCCTAATAATGTATGTGGTCTGGCAGAGTAAAGGCTTCATCCAGCAGGACTGCAGAGACTTCAAAACTAGAGTGCTGGTGAGTGAGACTGCCACGTGCAGAAGCCACTGAACTTCAGATCGGAGGCGGGAGTAACCATCTCTTCCCAGAGTCAGGGAAGAGGAAGAAGAGTGCTCTTTACATAGTTTGCCATTTTAAACGGCCTCCTGAGTTTTGTCTCTTAAAATCACGCTCCACGTCTTCCGTGGAATTGGCAACAGCTTCCCTAGCTGAGCAACAGCGCTTAGATTTGTCTTCCAGAGCAGCAGCGTGAAATCCAGACCGTCTTCCAGCACCGTGCACAGAAAGCCACCCTGAGTCCGCCTGGGCAGCCTTGTCCACCTTCCTATCCGTCCTGAAGACGGCAATGCCCAGGCCCTCCCCCGGCCTGGAGAAGACTTCCAGGAAGGTTCTGCTGAAGGTCACAAGTGTTCACAGGTGTGCCTGAGCCCTGCACAACCCACATGGTCTGTGTGAGGTAGATTATCCCTGGTGCTGCCTGCTTGCGTTTAATCCTCAATCTTAATGTCTGACATACTGAGTTGATGGGATAAAGTACATTTTGTCTAACGCACATTAAAATGTTAGCTATTAAAAATAAAGCCATTTTGTTTTACTTTCAGTGGGGTGCTTTGCACTTAATGGGGAACCCTATCTGCTGCCACTGTTCTTATCAGTCCTTGTTACCCTGATTTACAGGTTTTCCCGATGAACTCTCCATGCCTGCTCTCACCCCGTGTTCCTCCTACAGACTACTACCACTATTCTCTATAAATAAAAAGCCCTTTAAACAAAAAACGGGGCCCAGTTCTGATTATCCGCCTCTTCCAGACCCTGGCCTGTGTCCTGGGGCAAGTTACCTCTGTTCTTACAGCCTCCTGGGTCTGGACTGTAAAGCCCTAACTTACAGAGATTCGGTGGGATTCGAAGTCTCTCACCCAAGAGTTCCCACAAGGTCTGACAGTTGGAATTAAAATAACAGCTCTTCTAAAACCTGGTGATGTCATATTCAGATTGCAAATTGAACCACGCTGAGAGACCAGCACAATCCACACAAAACCAAGCTACTGTTGGGGTGCTTGCTTCATCGGCCCAAGTGCTGTGCAGAGTTCCCCACGTGCCTCCGCTCTTCTCCTCCGCCCACCCTGTGAGGCAGGTGCTGTTGGGCTCATGTTCCAGAACAAGGAAGCAGATTCGAGGAGGGTGAGTAGTGTACCTACTCACCCTCCAAATGTGTGGCATTTGTTGCAAAGCGGCTCCAGGTGGAGCTGGCATTCAGACCCCCCAAACCTGTCCCCTGGGCCAGCATTCTTTCAGGCTGCCTTACCCCTTCCCCTCCAGTTCTGGCAGGCAGAACTGTCTCCACCCACCAAAGGGAAGGGGCTAGGCTCACCACACAAGTGGTCTAGGAGCTCTTTCCTCCATTTCCCTGAAAGGCACAGCTTAGTGCCCCATCCCTCTCCCAGGGGACTAAATGCCTCGGTGTGCACTTCTCCAACCGCTTAGACCACTTCTCCAACTGCATAGACCGTACAGCCCTAAATGTCCCCCCTCACATCCTGCCTCCCGGGATAAGCCTTTTCTGTACCATCCATCTCCCTGTAATTCCCTGCACCTGGCAAGCACAGGCTACAGCCTTAAATTAAGCCATACAGGGAAGCTGCAGTTGTGCTAAAGAACACCACTTAATTTAATTGCCGGTTTGTAGCGGCCTCCCCGTGTGCACAGGAACCGCAGCGTGCAGCCCCCGACTCCCCTGCAGGCAATGGGCTGAGCAGAGCAGGACGACTATTTCTGTAAACTTGGGCTTTTGCCTTTACACACATTTTGCTCCGCCATTTAACTTGTCCTGCCACGATCTGCCTCCAAGCCTGTTGTACTTTTAGTAGCTCATTCACTTACAGACTATGAGCAAATAAACCTAAATGCAGCAGGCTACTCCTCCTGTTCAGGCCAACAGTGGGTGGCACACAGGGACACTGGGAGCAGAGAGGCTGCAGAGTGGCCCAGGGGGTCCCCGTGGGCAGGTCCTCCACGCCCGCAGACACGCCAGGGGTTGCGTTTCGATAGTTCTTCCCCGCTCGGTCTTACTGCAGTGAAGGGCACACCAGCCCATCTTCAGAACTGAGAGAGGAAAAGTTAATGGCAATGGCGTGAGTTTTTGTAAATTCAGGCTCCAAGAGAAAAACCTTAAATCATCTGGGAAACCAGAGGAGGTAGTAGCTGGCTTTCTGAGGAATTTGGTGACTTAAGTGAAGCCCCATCTTGGGCCCGAAAGAGGCCTTGAGCTTCAAGCCAGGCCTCACTAACCCAGAGAACAGGGCTCTGGATGTTCAAGGCTAATAAGTGTATAAGGAAGGCAAGGGTCTGCCCTTGCCTCTCATCTGGACAGGACTCTGGCAGAAGAGAGAAGTCAGGGCTGGGACAATTTAGAGGCTGTCTCGTTAAGGTGCGATCAAACATGATGTCCTGATAAACCGGAAGATAGCAAAACAGAGAACTGAGGTGCTATGTGCTCTCCTTCCCAACCTCCCCCCCAAGTCTGAAGGACAATGTATAGAAATAACTGTAGAGAATTAGCAGGCAGCAAAATAAGTCATGAAGGACATTTAACTTTTAAAGAACTAAAGTCTTGTCTGGCAGGAGGTAAAAATGAGATTGGATAGTTGAGACTTCCCAGTCAACACTTGGTTTACCAATATCCCTCCTTCTCTTAATTCACACTCCTAAACTCCTTAATTCACACTCCAAGTACCATTTTCCTACCTGTGGCAGGAAAGGAGTCACAGGTGTTGCAGCTGGTGCCCCCTCCCCACTCCAACCGCCCCGCCCTCAGCAGAAAACAGCCCCAAACCCTCTCCAGCTCCTACTCACCCTGTAGCACAGGCCCTGCTCCTGAGCCTTGAGCCCCGGGCAGTAGGGGACCAGCTGCTCCTGGAGCCTCATCGGAGCGGGGAGAGGCAGCCACTCTGTCCGGAAAGGGGGCTTGCGAGGTCCGCAGGTAGAGGCAGGAGGTGCTGACCCCCATGGCCTGTCGCGCTGTGGATACAGGGACTGCATGAGGACGCCGAGACACTGCAGGCACTCCTTCCTTGCACACATGGCAACTTCACGCCGCGGGCAGGGGCTCTGGCCGGGCGTTCGGGCAGAGCCAGGTTCTGAAATGCCTTTATTTACCGTCTGCTCTAATTGCCAAAGCATACCTTTTGATGGAAGTTAGCGAGGGGCTTAGGAATTCCCCAGTTACTGGAGATGGCGTCCCACCTTCAGTGGAGATGCCACGCAGCACCAGCAGGGGTCGCCCTCCCCCCGTGCTATGGCCATCCCAGCCCAGCTAGAGCCCTTGGCTAATAATTAACAAGAGCTCAGCCGAAGTCATTGTCAGGTCCCAGACTGCACAAAAGCGAGGCGGAGGCAGTTTGGGCCCACAGGCTGCAGTTTGCGGACCCTGCTGGAGGCCGTCATCAGTCCTGGTATCTGTGGGAAGAGTTCTGTTCCCCCCAGGGACCCCACACAACCAGGATGGCCCTGGCTCACCTAACAACTTTGCACAAGTCCTGAGCTGGTCCCGTGCTCTTTAACAAAACCACCCATGCGTTAGCCAGGTAAGGAAAACAGGAAGCCTTGGGGGCAGAAAGCTGAGAAGTCCTATCTGAATCAGAGGTAACAGAGGCCCCAGGGGTCAGGGAGGAACGACCTCAAGTGTGTGCCTTCCCCAGGATTGGGACACAGAGCCAACCTGTGAGAATGAGAGCAGTTGGGGACAGTGCCGTGCTAGGGACTCCGAGTTCCCAGGGAACACCAGCAGTAAACGGGTGAGACGCGTTGGCCCCTCCCTGCCTGCACTCACCTTCTTGTAACTGGGGTTGAATAAAAGATTCATCTTGGGACTGAGGGAGTAGAGAGAGATGATTACAGCCAGGCTCCCTAACCCACCCATCGCCTGCCCTCTGATGGGCTCTGCACCAGGGACGGCAGATTTCCTGTCCCAGAACCCCCGGGAGGAGCCTGAACTCTCTCCAGGCAGTGAGGCAGAGCTGCGGAGCATTTGGGAGTTAAACATTTCTGCTGTTATTTCTTGAACAGTTCGTGAAGGGCTACCTGCCCTTCCCCGGCAGGAACGTGCATCAGCGGCGTGGGGCAGAGTTCAGTGCAGCCAACAGCACTGGAGGGGTGGGTGTCGGGGGAGCAACGCACGGGAAACACTGGGCTGGTGCTTGCCAGACCCTTCATTTCCCGTGTTGGCCCAGTGAGGCTGCGGGAGGATCTAGATCTGGAAGCCAGAGTGGGCGGCCAGCACTCAGTGGGATCATACTTACTGTGCATATTGGCACTTGGGTCCCTGGGGGCAGAAGCCAGCTAAGTAGTTAATACACATTGTCTTATGGACATGGCGGTATTTACACAGGGGACCTGCCGGGAAAAGAGAAACCGGCCCAAAGACTCTGCTTTAGCAGAGAGGAGTAAACACGTGACCAAGCTCGCTGGGGAGGATGTGGATGGTCATAGGCTGTCCACTTGGCAGGGGTGTATATCTTCCCACCCTTTCCATGCTGCCCCGGAGCACCAGCTTCCTAGCCACATGGCTGAGATGGGAAAGCAAACTCGGACTGTGTAGGGTGGGACGTGTCCCTAACACGCTGTGTCTTGAAGGACTTGCATAGATGTGAACTGTAACTTGCCGTCCTGTATTTGTTTAGCCACAGAAGGAACAGCTGAGGCAAGGCTAACCCCACATCTCACGCTCCTCCTTCAGCACCCCTCCTCTGTGACCGCCCCCCAAAAGCAGTCCTGCCAAGCACTCAGTAAGAACAACATACCTGAAGGCTCAGGAGGAGAAAGGACTCAGATGCTCAGAGCAGGGACTCTAACTCGGTCCCTGTCTCCAGAGTCTGGCTGACTGTAGCGGGGTAGGTGGAACATGCTTAAGTGACGCTCAGGGCACCCCAGCTGGGTAAACTGAGTGCCCCCTCTGGGCCAGACCCTATGCCAAGGGCTGCCTGTGGGGTCCTACATCTAAGCAGCCTGGCAACCCTAAGAGGAGGCGCCCCTCCTTTTCGTAAGTGAGGAAACAAGCAGTTTGGTCATTTGTTCAAGGTCAACTGGCTGCTGTCTCCTGAAGCCATTGAACCGGAGTAAGCCAGGCTACAAGCTACATGTCCTAGTGGCACAGAGAGCTGTCCCACGGAGTGAGCGTGAGAACTATGGGGAGGACCTCAGTTGGGATTTCAGCCCAGGGGCAGACAGACCTCACCCCAGTGGGGCCTCGTCAGCACCTCGCATCTTGACCGCAGGGTGACCACCCGTTCTGGTCACCCAGATCCCCTGTTGCTCCCATTCTGTCAGGGCCTCACCGTCTTTGCAGAAACCTTGGTCATACCAAGGACAGTCCTGGGTCTTGAAAGCTGTGTTCGTGTGAAGAAAGTGACATCCCTTGTTGCTGCACTCACCTGAAAATTCCAGCACGCTTTGTATATAAGCAGGCTCATCTTCACGGTCATGTCTGCCCTCCCCCACTGACTGACCTCGCCCCTCGAATAGCAGCCGCTTGCCTTCTTGTGGTCACCAACAGCTTTTGAAGACAGTAAGCTATTTCTCATCCTTCCTGCAATCTGAGAAGTGTGGACCCCAGTAATGTTCACTAAGCAGGACTTGGGGTGAATATACATATTCGAGGGAGCTGGGGCAGGGCCAGATATCCAGGAGGTGGGGGCTGGAACTGAAGGCATTTAGACACCATTAGGGAAGAAGGAAGCAGGAGAGACAGGGAAGGGGACACCCAGAACTGGCAGCTAAAGGCCTGAGAAGACACAAGACACTGAGTGGAGATGTTACCATGTGCTGTGACTCAAGCCCACTCTCCCTCTCTACAGTGAGACCAACCCTGCCTCCAGAGTCTGGGGATGCAGCTCTTTTTGGTGAAATCACCCCGAGAGCAGACCACTGCCTCAGAGGCAGCACAGGGACGAAGACAGATGCTGCAGAGAGAACCTGTGGTTGCTGTAACTTGTCTGTGCACTAGACCAAGACCCACAGCCCCTGGAAGGAACACTGTTTCCACAGACTACTCACGAGTTACCGTGAGAACCCTCTTAGATGTCTCTTAGGGACCCAGCGGCTCTGAAGGCACTGTGGGAAAAGACAGCCCATTTCCTGTCTCATTCAAGTCAGGAATTGGTGTTTCCAATGTCATCCTCCTTAAAAGTCTATGACTCTGTGCCTTTCAGAGACGAAAGGAACTGCACACTGTCTATGCCATTGGTTTTCAAACGACCCCAAAGAGGTCAGTTTCATGCAGTGCATTTCCCCACTGCAAGGGTTCCCCGAACCCAGCCCTCTCGTTTCCCAAAAGAAGACACCAGGACATCTTTAAACATTCCAACATCTGAATTATAGGGGTACCAGAAGGGGAAGAGGAAGAGTGACAAGTGGAAAACTTATTTGAACAAATAATAAAGGAGAATCTCCCCAATCTGGCAAAGGAAATAGACTTCCAGGAAGTCCAGGAAGCTCAGAGAGTCCCAAAGATGTTGGACCCAAGAAGGAACACACCAAGGCACATCATCATTATATTAGCCAAGATTAAAATGAAGGAGAGAATCCTAGAAGCAGCAAGAGATAAGGGAACAGTCACCCACAAAGGAGTTTCCATCAGACTGTCAGAGGATTTCTCAAAAGAGACCTTACAGGCAAGAAGGGGCTGGAAAGAGGTATTCCAAGTCACGAAATCCAAAGACCTACATCCAAGATTGCTCTATCCAACAAAGCTCTTATTTAGAATGGAAGGGCAGATAAAGCACTTCTCAGATAAGGTCAAGTTCAAAGAGTTCATCATCACCAAGCCCTTATTATATGAAATGTTCAAGGGACTTATCTAAGAAAAAGAAGATAAAAAATATGAACAGTGAAAGGACAGCCAACTCATAGTTATTAACAACCACACCTAAAACAAAAGCAAACTAAGCGGACAGCTAGATCAGGAGTGGAGCCATAGAAATGGAGATCACGTGGAGGGTTAGCAACAGGGGAGTAGGAGGAGGAGAAGGGGGGAGAAGGTACAGAGAATAAGTAGCATAGATGGTAGGTAGAAAATAGGGGGGAGGGCAAGAGTAGTGTGGGAAATGTAGAAGCTAAAGAACTTGAGACACAAGGACATGAACTAAAGGGGGGGAATATAAGAGGAGGGGGTGTGCAGGGTGGATGGGAACGAAGAAGGGGAAATGGGACAACTGTCATAGCATAATCAATAAAATATATTTTTTTAAAAAAGAAGATGCCAGTCACCCGGCAGGGGAGTTGTCATGTCCATTTTCATGGGGCTTCCTTCTCACACTGACAAGGCATCATTCGCTTGCTCATCATCAGTCTGCAGCTGACTCTGGGCTTGAGCAGTCTAAGGAATTGAAGCAACGCCCCCCATCACCACCCAGTAGGGCTGGGGAACTTGATAAGTGTCTTTCTGCCTCGGACGCAGATCTCTGCATTCCTCTCACAGCCAGCAGGTGGCGCCCGCACCTCACTCTCCTCCCTCTTCCTCCCCAACCAGGTAGTTGATGGGCAACAGCCAAGAGCAGAGCCAAAGACCCCAGGCTTCCTCACCCCTCTCAACTGCCCCTTCCCACTCCAACTCCCCAACAATATTTAAAAAAATAAAACAATTTATCTCCCATAAGAATGGTAATTACTTTGGTGTGAGATTAGAAAGAGATATTTGTTCACTAATGATAAGAGGAAAAACATACCTGACGTATTGTAATCACCAATTTACATGTCTGTCCTTCATAATGCGAGTTATTTGAGGGCAGAAGGAGACCTGGTCCTATTCCTGTATCCACATCCAGCACAGTACTCAGTCCCCAAGAGAAAAGCAACTGGGGTTGTTGAAGGAGTAAATCAATGGTATTCCAGAGTGAAAGAGGGCTAGGCAGTGACCAAGGGGAGCCAGGCATCAGTCAACTTTGTCCTGTCCTTCAAGGAACACGTGTGGGCAGCCCTCATAAACTGCCAAAAATCTCAACTCTGAGGAGCAAGCAGGAAACAGATTTTAGCCTGGGAAGAGCCCCTGCTGACCTAAGGGGGTGCTTTGCATTATTCCCCCATACCCAGGACCCCTGCCTCCCCACTAACAAGGAACACCTGCCCCCAGCGCTGGCTCAGTTTCGAAGCCACGTCACCTCCATCAGAGGCATCCCTGGAAATGGTCCCAGCCCTCTCCCCCTCTGGGACACTCTTTCTGGAGCACCATTTGAAAACCACTGGACTAGATAATCCTCCAGCCTCCTTCCAGTTCTGAAAAGCACTGAGCTGTAGCGTTCTATGGAGAAGGATGAGATGGAAACACATTCACGGATTTCATGGTTAAGTGAGGCAGGAAGTGGCCGTGGCTCCCGCCTCCACCCGCAGCCCCTTAGATGACAAGAGAAGGACCCGAGGGGTAAGACGCTGGCCCAGCCCTGACCGCACAGGATCATTTAGGGGCTATACTTATGAAGCTCACGGTGTTTGTTTACAGTTTCCCTTTATGGGAAACAAGTGAGGCTCGTTTTCTATTTATAGAAGCAATATAAAGTTTTCTTCTAAAATGAAGGTTTAAAATAGCAAGACAACTGAAATAGACAATGGCACAGGTGCTTTGGGGGAATCACAAGCATCATTGCAAAAGTGCTACCTGCTGTTTGGGGACTGCTGGCCCGGACCCCAGCCCCCAAGCCTGCGGGAGAGAAATGGCCCATTCTAGGCTGTTTCCGGAGAGTGAGTGTGACTTAGCCAGGACTGCGGAGGGAAACAATTCGGCCTTTGATTCCAACTGTACCCTCTCCTTCCCTTGGGGTAAGCCGTGTGTGCCTGAGCCCGATGGGGAGAGATAAACAGGGACCAGAGTGCAGCTCCACTTTCCCTGTGGCGTTGGAGATGCAGGTGTCTCAGACAGGCCTGCTCTGCCACCTGAGACATGGAAGGCCTCTCTGGGGCGTCCCTCCACACGCCCCATCCCACAGCCCCTGCTGCCACCCTCCAGGGGAAAGGGCTGGGGCCAGGAAGGGGCATTACCGAACTTGGAGAAGAAGTAACACTCGGGCATCCTGGTGACATCGTACTGATGCAGAAACTTGCACTGGTCACCCTTCTTGCACAGCCCACGAAGCCAGTGCTTACACACTACCATCTTCACCCCGCGGTCATGCCGGAACGGGCACAGCTTCCCTGGGGACCAGAGTGCCCAGCTGGGAGCCCCCCACCCACAGCCTGGGCCCTCTTACCTCTGGGTAAGACCCACCTGCTCTCCTTTTGTCCCCTCCCCTGGACCCTGGTGGCAGCTACAACTGGAGAGCCAGAGGTGACCTGCTGTTGTCTGAATAGGCGGCTATTCCCATGACCACACCTTTGCCCCAACTTTCCTCTCTGCCTGACGTGATGCCCCCATCAACCCCAGGCTGGCCAGACACCCTCTCTGGCCACTTAACAGCCCTCTAGCCTCCAGGCTCATGGCCAAGGCTTCTCCCAGAGAACAGAGCCACAGTTTCCAGCCCTGGACACCCCCAGCCCCCACAAGTGCCATCCCTATCACATACTAACTGCTCATTAAGGGCCTGTTGAATTCGTGTCTTTAAAAAAAGAAAAGTTATGCTTCCTGATTCCAGAGACCTAACGTGATGATGACGGAAGAGCCAACTCCGCAAGGATTTAGAAAGAAATGGGAATGTGACAGTTAACTCTTCATCACCTTCACCAACATGCTGTCACCGTCGGCAGGAAGGACACCCCAGTTCCCAAGTTTCTAAGTGGGACTGGCCTCATGCATCTGATAGAATTTGAGGGGGGGCCCAGGAAGCTTCTTTTAAAATTGCCTCACCCTCTGCCCCTGACCACTGGCTTGCTTGGATCTGACCTTCCACAAAAACAGTCGTATTTCTTTGCAAGAGGATGTCACTATGAACACTGCTCCAGAGACAACGTGGGCCGAGCTGAGGACAGGGCCCAAGGCTGAGCTCACGTCCCTTCTCACCCCATCATCCAGGGACGGCCCAAAGACGAGAAGAGGCACGTGGCAAAAATGGCTCCAGGTCCCCCCTGCCTGGGCCCCTTTTCCCTCCCAGCTTCCCAAGAACAGACACATTTGAAACCCAAAAGCAGGTCCCAAATACATTCACACTAGCGAGGGTATGTAACCTGGGCCCACAGAGGGCCTGGGAAGCTCCACCTTGGCAGTGAGACTTTTGGGGACCACCGTGTATTTCTATAGGAAGAGTAGGGTTCATGAGCTAGAAGAAAAGCTGAGAACTCCAATACTTGAGTCAGGCTCTTGGGGTAGAGGAGCTTGGAAGAGGGTGCTGCTTGATCCTCACTGGGGCGGCGGAGAACTAGAGGTGCTTGTTGGCAGCATTTCAGACACTGTGGCTAGAGCTACCTCGGGGCACAGGGAATACGTGGGACAGCCGAGCAGGCCCCCCACTGATTCGCAGGACAAAGTGGGGGCAGGATGCCACTCCCCAGGCTGGGAGGGAAATAAAGAGGTCAGGGCTCTCCCGGAGCACACAGGCTGGGGCCCACTACCACCCCCAGGAAGGTGGGAGGAAGGAGCGTGCCCTTCTAGGCAGCTCTGGCCACCCTACTCAATGCTGCTGAGTCCAGGAAACCCTTGGAGCTCAGGCTTCTCGGTGGACCCACCTACTCGCCACTGCCCACTTATAAGATTAAAATTCTATCCCATCCCCACCTCCCCTCCCCAGATGCAAATCCAACCTCTATCCAAGCTAAGGCCAGCCCTGTGCAGGGCAGACACAGGTGCTGCCGCCCACCCCCAGGCCCCCTGCCGACCCACCTTTCTCACAGAGCCCTTTAGCAAAGAAGTTGCACACAGCTGAGCCCGACTCTGGAAGGGGAGAAAGAGAGAGGGTCAGCTTCCTCAGAGGGCCTCTACCCTATCAGCAAGTCCCCCAGTACTTTGCCCAAGGCTGGGGCTTGGGCCCCTTAAGTCCTGCCTTTGGATGCTGGCCTCTGGAACCAGCCTCCGAACCTCAACACCTAAGCTCCCCAACTCCGCACCAGAGGCCATGGTGGGGCCAAAGCCAACCTGGGAGCTTTCCCTGGAATCCTGCAAGGAATGTGGGGGGGGGGCAGAGCCCCTGAGAAGAGAGTGGCTAAGCTGGAAACCCCAGGCTGTGGGCTCAAGCCCCCAGCTCAGTCCCTCTGGTGAGCCGCAGACAGAAAGGGCTGTGCCCAGCAGGATGCTGAGCAGACTCCTGCAGAGCAGGCTGGGGGGGGGGGGGTGGTGCGAGGACGGGGTTGTGCAGGGTCCCCAAGAGGGATGGCTGGTCCCCCTCCTCACTCACTGTCCATGCCCTGGAAAGGCAGGAGTCCAATCCCCTTTTGCATCTCTACATCCTTCTCCAAGGTGAAGGTGAACCTCTGCAGCCCTGCAATGACCTCTTCCATCTTCCATCTCCTGCTGGGGCAGCTGAAAGCTGCTGAGCTGGCAGGTGGACCCTATATACGGAGACCCTTAAGGGGCCAGGGTCTGATGCCAGGGGCCAGGTGACTGTCAGGCCCTCTCTAGGCCCAGCTGTCCGCCCTCTCCCACCTGCTGCAGGTGCAGACGCCCCAGGGCCCCACACCCCCACGCTGTGTAAGTCCGTCCCATCCCAGCGCACCGCTGCTTGGGAGGGGATTAGCAGAGACCCACGTGCTGCTTATCTCTGCCCATTCCCAAACCCACACACAGCATATGCACAGGCATTACCAAACCTGCACTCATACTTTCAACATGAAGACACAGCCCAGGTTACCAAGAGAAGTTGCACAAACCAACCACAGCCAGGCTCTTCTGATTCGCTGCAGCCTGGGAGCCAGAGGGTGTGGGGGCGGGGCCGGGGTGCAGAGGGATGGAGGCCCCTCTCCCCGCTGCCCCCTTCCCTCCAACCCGGCCCCAGCCAACCCCTCCCTCTGAGGCTCCTGACACCCCTTTTCTGGTCTGAGTGACAAGCTCCGAGTGAGCTCTTCATGGGAGAGAGGGAAGAGAGACTGAAACTCGGAGGAATCGGAAATAGTTGGATGAATGGCGCTTTGTTTATCCCGCGTACAATCGCGCGCTGGGCTGGGGGTGGAACCAAGCCCAGGCTGCGGCCTCCCGGCCAGGATTCCACGGGGCCACCCCAGCGCCTCCCCGCCCCTGAGAAAGTGCTTTGTAAACGAAATCTCTATGCAAATGTTGTTTTATTATTATTACGCCACCCCTTCCCCCGGGCCTGGGGACATCTGAAAATGCTTTCAAAGGCGCTTTGTAGGGCTCTAACTAGGGCAGGCCTCCCCTCCCCCGGCTCTGGCCCCCTAATTGGCCTTCGCTCCAACTGAAACTGCTGCTTTCCAGTCGCTTTGGAGCGAATACCCACAGAACCCAATTGCCCCCCCCCCGGGTCCAGCAGGGAGAGGGGGGCCTCGCCCTGCAGGTCCGCAGCAGGACCAACAAGAATGAGCCTGCTGGCTTGTGTCCCCCCGGGGCTGTGGCTCCTAGTTTTGTTGTTCTTTTGAACTCTGGATCAGAAAAGAAAATAGCTGGAAAGGTAGACACCTGGAGCCGAGGCAAAGTCGCGGCGAAGCCGAGGCAAAGCCAGGGCAGGCTGGGAGGGGGATCCAAGACTTTCCAGAAGCTCGGGCCTCCCTCCAACCACGTTCCCAGGAAGGCGGAGGGCGGAGCTGGGGGCCGCGGGCCGCGGGCCGCGGCGGGTCTGGTCCCAGGGGAAGACACACGCCCCTGCTTCCCTTGGCCCTCTTTGTGTGCCCTGATTAGTCCAAGAACACATTCCTCTGTCAACACAGGCTCCTTGAAGGCCCACACCAACTTGGCAAGGCAGGCGGGCAGGCAGATAAGGAACTCAAGGCCCAGCAAAGCCAAGGGCACGTGTTGGGGGGGCGGTGACAGTGGAATTCAAATCCACAGCTCTCAATGGTTTCCTTCTGGGAACATCCGAGGACCGTCTCTACAATGGGGAGCGGGGACCGCGGAACAAAGGACCGTGTCGCTGCCCCTCAGAAACGACCCAGTGAAGTGGGGGCACTTTCAACAGCACAATCATACAAAGGGGTGATTGGTGGCAGTGTGGTGACAGCAAGGGGGGAGCCACCCAAGCAGGGGCAGAGAGGGGTGGCAGGGAGGGCTCTCAGGGGAAAAGCCTGGCCAGGGTGCGGGAGAACATTCCAGAAGGTGGGCCCCCTGGACAAGGGACTGGGCCTTGAGGCAACAAGTCAGGCTGAGGGGCCAGTCAGGGGTTTGGCTTGGAGGAAGCGGGGGTTCAGAGAAGGGGAGTGGTGGGTGACAAGATTAGGAAGTAAGTAGGGCCCAAACCTGGAGTATCTTTTCGGACTTGGTGGGGGTTTTGTTTTGTTTTGTCTTCTTCTGTTTGTTTTGTTTCTTATCTTATCTTGGAGAAAGGCCAGGGAAGGCCAGGGGAAAACTAGGAAATAGACAGGCCCCTGGGTAAGCTTCTGGGGAAATTCAGGGACAGGAGGCTGCCTGGACAGTGATAAGGAATCACAGAGCCCGGAGATAGAGCCAGAGGTCCTCCCAGCCTGCTGGGGGCGTGAGAGTTCATCCTGAGGCTGAGGAGGAAGGAGGCTCCAGCAGAGACTGCTCTGTCCACCCACCCTGGTGTCCCCTTCCCTTCTGGTCCAGGGGCTGCCTTCCACCTGGACTCCAGGCCACCTCCCGGAGCCTGGTGAGCAGAAGGTGTGGGAAGGATGCCACATAGATGCATGCCCTTCTCCCGAGTCTTCATCAGAAGAACGACAGCACTTGGCCTTCACGGTTTTGGTTTCTCCCCAATCCCTTCTGTAGTGAGTTGAATTGAGCCACCCCCGGCCCCAACACAGTCCAAGTCCTGACCCCTGGTACCCGTGAATGTGACCTTATTTGGCAGTGGGTCTTTGCAGGTGTCATTAAGGAACTCCAGGTGAGATCATCCTGGAATTAGGGTGAGTCCTAAACAAAAGGACTGGTGTTCTTAGGAGAAAAAAGAGGGAGATTTGAGCCACACACAGTCACAAGAAACCTGGAGGAGAAGACCATGTGAGGACAGAGGAGGAGCCTGGGGTCAGCCAGTGGCCTTGGAGCACTGAGGAAGGCGTGCCTGCCCCCCACCCCCAGGTGCCAGAAGGGGCCAACGCCCCGATCTCGGACTTCTGGCCTCCAGAACCATGAGAAAACCCACTTGTGTTGTTTGAAGCCCCCACCTTGGCGGTGATTGTCGCAGCCGCCCCAGGACACTAGGATCGTTCTCTTTAGAAGTTCAGCTTCGGAAGACCTCACTCACCTTTTTTACAGACGAGCAAATAGAAATACAGAGACGTTGAGTGACTGCCAAGGTCCCACAGCTAATCGGTGTCTACTGGGGGTCTGCCCTGGTCTCCCACCTCACAGACCCTCTGTCTCACTCACTCCCCCTCCCCCGATTATATTGCCACCTCATGGCTGCCTGGTGGACCAGCATCCCCTGTCCCAGTCATGTCCTTCTGGAACCTCACAGTAAGCTCTTCTGGGCTCTGAGGCTTCTCCCCAGCACTGTGTTTTCATTGATTGATTAATTCATGGCTGCAAAGTGGACGCGTAAATCGCTGTGCAAACAGTGGTGTTAATTTTTAATCACCGTCATTATGAGGCTCTCATCTAACTCCAGCTGCAGCTTCCCTGAATCACCACCCTGCCCCTCTCCCCGGATAAACGAGTTGCTCTGAACTTCGGGGGGGGGGGCGGTGCAGGGAGCCCTAGAATTCTCTGGCTGCCAGGGGCTGGCAGGGGTCATTGTGCCCAGCCCTGTGGCCTTGGACCAACCACCGCCAGTGCTTCCCTGGGTGGAATGTGGCCACGCCCTCCCTTCTGGTGCCTGTCCATAGGCCTGTCTCTCCACTTCCCACTCGGGCACCCTGAAAAGGTGAGACTGGCATTAGTCAGGCCAGGGTTCAAATCCTAGGCTGGTCGTTTCATCAGCAATCTGAGCCCCAGAGGTGACCCTCCCCAGCAGGACCTCTTTGGGGGGCTGTCGGTAATGACATAGGACATGGGAAGCAGTCCTTCCTGGGGGAATGAGCTGGGAGACACCCCCACACTTGGGGGGTGTGGCTGGGTGCTCAAGGCCCCAAGTGTCCTGCCCTTAGGTCCATGGTGCCCCTGCTCTTCGAGTTGATTATTTCTAATGGCCCCGAGGGGAGGTGCTGTGGGGCGGGGTCTCCGTGCTATTCAGTGCCTCCGAAGGGGCTGCCCCGAGTCTACCAGGGATGGGCTGGGTTGCCACGGTGCTGGGAGGGGGTGGGGTCGGGAGGAGCCCCTGTGACCCACAGCTGCTGCTACTCAGCCCCAGGGACAATGAGCCGGTGTGCCCTGCCCTCTTCACTGCTCTTGTGCCCCAGAGATGCCACTTGGTGGGGAGAGCTGCTGACCTCACCATGGGCATTGGAAGTGCAGGGCAGTAACATGCAGCAGCCAGGATGGTCCTGCTCCGTCCTTGCCCAGGAGCCCAGTCTCTGAGCGTCTGAGGCTTCTGGAATCTGTAATCCTGAAAGGCATCTCTCCCTGGGGACTGGGGCACAGTAACAGGACTCCTGAGCCTCCTCACCTGCTCACAGGGCCTCTTTCAGTGCTCACCGTCGCTGTGCAAGCTGCTTGTACCCATTTTACAGATGAAGAAACCAAGACCCAGAGTAGTGAAGAGATCACCTAAGCTCACACAGGGACCTCCATGTTGGAACAGGGACCTAGAATCCCAACCTTTGCTACCAGTGACATGGACTTAACTGGTGGAGGTTCACTGTTACACTGTGTTCTCTCTAATCCCCACCGAACCCCACGAAGAGAGCTGTCGTTATTTCTCTCCTACAGTTGAGAAAACAGAGGCTCTAATGCTTTGCAAAGACCACAAGCTCAGTCTGTCCCACCCCAAAGCCAGCTCCTCCAGCCTGCTGAGCTGCAGAGCAGGCAGGCAGGAGTGTGAGGTGAGAAAGGAAGGGTGGAGGTGTGGGTGCAAGGGTCCTGGGGGGGGTGAGCAGTGTGCTCAGAGTGTGACTGGGCCTCTGCGTGGGCATGAGGCTTGTACTTCACATCTGAGAGTCCAGGAGACAGGATATTTGGCTCTTGGGGAGCAAGCCCGGGCCCAGGGAGTGTCGGGATAGGTTTTCCCCTCCACTCTGGCCACCACCAAGGGTCTCGGCCTTCAGGTCACCCTCCCCCTCCTCTGCTTCTGTGTCCAGAGCCCCTCGAGGCTCAGCAGAGGCTTCCTAATCCTCCTGGGGCTCGGAGGGAAGCCTCTGCGGCCTGGCTCCACTCACTGCCCTGTGCCCTGAGGAAAGGGAGTCCTGTCACCAGCAGTTCAGGGGACACTGCAGGCCCCGCAGCACCAGCAAAATGAGTTGGCAGAAATGCAGGATGGGACCAGCTCAGGTTACACCCT